AGCATTCCTAATAAACATCTCTAATAAACATCTCTAATAAGCATTCCTAATAAGCATTCCTAATAAGCATTCCTAATAAGCATTCCTAATAAGCATTCCTAATAAGCATTCCTAATAAGCATTCCTAATAAGCATTCCTAATAAGCATTCCTAATAAACATCTCTAATAAACATCTCTAATAAGCATTCCTAATAAGCATTCCTAATAAACATCTCTAATAAACATCTCTAATAAACATCTCTAATAAGCATTCCTAATAAGCATTCCTAATAAGCATTCCTAATAAGCATTCCTAATAAACATATCTAATAAACATATCTAATAAACATCTCTAATAAACATCTCTAATAAACATCTCTAATAAGCATTTCTAATAAACATTCCTAATAAATATCTCTAATTACCATTGCTAGTGGGCATGTCTAGCGGGCATGTTTGGTGGGCGTAGGCAAGGGGCCGAGGGTGTTTGTATGGTGTTATGAGCCAGTTCTGCGACATCGCAAAGGTCTCGGCCCGGCCTGCTTGACTCATTTGATCAGGACCGTGACACTACCTCCGGGACGCTCGGCGAATGGGCCGAAACACCCGCTTTTTCTTCGCTCAGGCCATGGCGCACCACCGCTATGGAGAGCCTGTCTGAGCACTCATTTCTACATCAGGCTCGGTCCAATATGCGGCAGGCTCTTGACGAGGCTGGCCCGCGTTGTATGCCACCCGATTTCTCACATGTCCTTACGGACTTTTTCTTCCAGATTCTTCTTTCCACGTAGCATTTCACCATACATATTCCATACATATCCTGATGTCCAAGCACGCTCAGCCGGCATGTCACCTGTGCAGGGTTATCAGCAGGCACTCAGCCCCGGCACCCTACACAACACGGAAGACCGTGGCTCAACATGTCCTTCCAATTACGAGTCCTGGTTACATTGCATGCATTGGGGCGGCCCCGGGAGGGCAGGGGCGACTACATAATAAACAATTCAGCGGAAACAAAAGACGCACGCATCTAGTTGGACTTCTTCAAGTTGTTGGACAACCAGTCCAAGCCATCGTACAAACCGTCTCCGGTCGTGGCACAGGTGGACTGGATGTACCAAGGTCTCTGTCTGATGGAATGCAAGCCCAACTTCTCCGTGATCTCGGCCGCGTTCATGGCGTTTGGCAAGTCCTGCTTGTTGGCAAGCACCAACAACAAGGCGTTTCTCAACTCGTCCTCGTTGAGCATCTGCTGCAACTCCTCGCGGGCCTCGGCAATACGGTCTCTGTCATTGGAGTCGACCACGAAAATGATACCCTGGGAGTTCTGGTAGTAGTATCTCCACAAAGGCCTGATTTTGTCCTGTCCACCCACGTCCCACACGGTGAACGAGATGTTTCTGTACTCAACAGTCTCGACGTTGAAGCCAATGGTGGGGATCGTGGTCACGATCTCGCCGAGCTTCAACTTGTACAAGATGGTGGTTTTACCAGCGCCGTCCAACCCGACCATCAATATTCTCATTTCCTTGTTGCCGAAAAGGTTGCTGAACAACTTGGAGATAGACAAGCCCATTTTCGATATCTGGTGGTGGTTTGTTGTTGCGAACGATTCGTCTGTCTAGTTTCTATGTGGAAGAAGATTCCTGTGCGGTTACTGCCGTCAGTGGTAGTCTGAGATTCCGAACCAAGAGGATGTTTTTTTATACCCGGTAAACTATCGGATACAAGCCAGCTGAATGGAGGAAGCAGAAAGTCAACAAAAGATGTATTAGCTTGCTGCTGGACGCGGTTTCACAGGGGGAATTATGTCGCCTTGGAAACAGGGAGTTTTTTCTGATGAAGCACAAGAAAGAGTCGTCCGAAAACAGGATGTCGAATCTAATTGAACAGCAAATCGCGGGAATATGGACACCGTACAGGCCGCGGGGCGTGCGCGGCTCAGACCGGCGTCCTGGCGCGTTCCCTGTCGCTGCCGCCTTATATTGGAGGCGGAGCTGGCTACATTATAGTTGCAAGAAAAAAAAGGGGGTCCTGGATATTTCAGGCCATCTTGGAATTTATGTGACAGCATTTTTTTAAGCTGGTGACGTCTGGCGTGCCCGCATCTCAGCGTCCCAGATCTAGTAAGTTTATTGACTCGAGGCCCGCTATCTAGGGGCGTTTTTTCTTACTGTGAAGCCCGGGCCGCCTTCGCGTCGTATATTTACCGAGCCTTCCAGGGTCTCAATGCTTGCTGCTTAATTGTCACTATGTAGTCCCCACATCCCGCAAGATAGACGTGAACAATGCGGGCAATTGAATTCCGAGGCCAGGCTTGCAAAACTAATTGGTTGTCCCACCCAATACGCGTGAGCGTGACTTCGCTGCCTGCATGCAAAACAAAGCTTAATAGATTTGACTACGAAATCCAGATTTGCAGACGTAGTCCGCAATGGCTCGCTTGGAGAATCATGGATCTCAGGGAAATGACTGACGGGTGAGACTTAAATTACTGATGCAGAGATGCGCAAAATACGCATAAGATGTCGACATGAAGCCAGTGAGGCGAGCCATGTTTCGCGCTTAATTTTGGCAGGTTTAATTACGTGACGATAATACGACGTGTTTTGCAGTCAACGGTTCCGCCAGAAGAGAATGTTTGCGCAGTTCATTTGCAACACGCCTTTAGAATGAGCATCGCCTCGCTTTTGGATTTGTGAGTCAAAAACAGCAGAAACAACAACGGTTCGTGCTATAGTGGGCTGATTCCGCTAAAACACGATGTTTGTTCGCAAACATACAGCAAAACTGGGTACGTCTTGTAAGTCAGTTGAACTTCGGGGCTGACTTTCTGTTTCTGAGGAGCTTGGATTGGATTGCTGGCTTGTTCGACAGACACCCTCGGAGATACCGAACCACGACGGCAATGAGGAATGCACCGCGTCAAAAGGAGACCATGGAAATCACGACGGTTCCTTTGAAACCCACACAGGAAAGCTGATTCTCCCACAATCAGCAGTTCTTGCGCCCGAAGCTCGATGCCCCAAATGCACTGTGTCTACATCGTACTCGCATTGCACATACGGGGAAATTATGTATTATGATGCAAGGAATAATTAAGCCAGTTTTGCCCCGCGCAGCGGATCGCAGGGGCCAACAACGGAATGCAAATGATGAAAAAGGGGAGGCGAGCTTACTTGCCCAAGTTGACTTTGGCGTGCGCATACTTCTGCAACGCCCGGATGAATACGGCGTAGTTGACGCTGTTGTTGTCGGGTTCCCAGTACATTTCGCTTAGGCGAATGTGCCACGGTGGGTAGTCCTGCAAATCTAGCACGGGCCCGAAGCAGATCAACAAGTCCGGCTCAGGCCCCACGAGCTCGACCAACTCTTCGTCAATGAGATCCACGGTGATGTCATCCACGGACAACTCCTTGTTGGCCGAAAGCTCGCTGATGGTTTTGGTGAGCTCCACGATGGTGGGCTTGCCGTCCACGCGCGAGAGAAGCGAGATCTCCAAGTCCGGCGCATCTGCGTCGCCGTGGCTGAGGGTGATGTTCGAGTGCGGGACGCGGATGGTGAAGCTGGGCGCCGGGTTGCCAAAATACAAAAGCAAGTTCTTGCTGATGTATCGCTGCAACTCGGGCAAGTAGCTCTTCACGGCGCCGTTGTACTCGTAGATCGTGAGGCTCGGGATGCCCAGGCTCAAGGTCCAGGCGGCCAACTCGGAAATGTCGGCGATCACGCCCTGGACACCGCCGTTCTCGTCGTCGTCGCTGCGCAAGTTGACAATACAACTGACGCGTCGGGGGATCTTCAGGAGCTTGTTGACGTCGTCGCGAATGACGCGGGGCGAATTGTTGGGGAAGTAGGTCATGGAAAACACGCGGAGCCGCAACTTGTTGTACACGAACTGCACGTTCCGCAAGATCGACAAGACGAAGAACACGGCCAAGAGCACGGCGTATCGCGGGTAGAAGAGGACCAGGCGGGGTGCTGCCGGCGGCGGCTGCTGGACAGAGGTGTGCATATTGAAAAGCTCCTGTTTTGGGTTTTGGGGATGGCGGGATCTGGGTTTTGGGGATGGCGGGACCGGCGGGCAATACGAGAGGATAGTGGAGTCTTTTGGCGGGGGACGAAGCTTTGGAACATGCTCGTTGGCTTACTTGGGCGCAAACCCATGCTGGCGGTGTACGGGTGTGTGCGTATCGCTGCGCGGGGGTGGTCTGTGATGGAGAGTGGCTGGGCGGTAGACTGGGGCGTGAGGCTGGGAGTGCTAATCTCGTTGGTTTCCGGATATGGTTGGTGGGGCCCGGGCGTGGTTTTTGGGGCGGGACGTGCGGTTTGTATATCGGTTTGCTCATTTGGTTTTTTTACTTTTTTAGTTTTCATTGTGGTTGCATTTTTTTAGTTTTCATTGTGATTGCAGTTATTGGCTGGGGGAGTTTGCAATTGTTGCGGAGAATGTGTGCTTGCACTTGATACTTGTGCTGTGTTGCTGGTGTCTGGTCACTGGCTAATAAATCATAGACCATCGAGCGCAAGAAAACTGTACCTTTCTGGCCTCCTACTCGAAATCTTCTATGGCCGAGTGGATCTTCATATTATTTGAGGCTTTTTGACGGGTTGGTTTTTTCGCGCCCATGATTCAGGATAGACGTTTCAGGATGCGGAGGGGCGTGCTCGCTTTTCGATATTGGCTGAGGTTTTATTTGCGCGGTCTCATTGCCAGACTCATTGCCAGCCGTGTTGATGTGGATGGCCTTTTGAAATCTGTGCTGATTTTTCAGTTCCATCTGTGCTGATTTTTCAGTTCCATCTGTGCTGATTTTTCAGTTCCATCTGTGCTGATTTTTCGGAGCTATTAGTGCTGATCCTTCGGTGCCATCTGTGCTGATTTATGGGCGGACTCCTCGGTGCTGATGTCCCCATTTTCTGGCTTCCGGCGCTGGCTTCTCGGTGCCTTTGATCGCGATCGCACTCATGTGCTTTCCCACCAAAAAGTTTCAATGTCAGATTTCTCCTATTTAAGTATGTGCAGTACTTAGGATCTCTTAGTCTACTACTATCTTCTATAAGACCCTTGTCGAGGAAAAGGGAACAGGGAAATCCTGCCTCCTTAAATAGCCCCTCCTCCTCTTATCTACCGGAGAGGGGGCGGAGCCGTGTGTCACCTGAACGGGAATGCGATATGCCACGTATTCACTCTCAGTTAGTCAATAGCCCTGCCCTAGACCACGTGAGAGATGCCACGTGATTACACGCCTCGTGACAAAAAGGGCCTGCCATATTACTTGTTCGCAGTCGGGCGGGCTCCCTCCACCACGGGGTGCGGGTTCCTGGTGCAGTGCCGGGTGCAAATTCTGCCGCAGGCCCTGGGGCCCCATGCGCGGATCTGGGCTTGGTCAGCTGGGGCCTCACGTATAGGGCCACGGGCCTGGACACAAGACCCACGCGGCCTGGACACAAGCCCTGAAGACGACCCTGCTTCGGCCTGGGGCCACGGCCACGGATCCACATAATGCCCGGCCCTATTCAAGCCTCGCTTCCCACTCGGCCCCCGGCCACGGCATCACCAAAAAATAAAAAAAAACTGGTTTTTCCAATCCACGCCGCCGTGTCTCAGTGTGAGATTGCCCGAACCCAGGCCACTGCCCCACAAAAAGGCTGCGCGGCCCCATCACGTCACCGCATGCCACCGCTCGCCTGACGGAAATTGCCACTGCGCGGTCATGAGGCCCCCGAAGCAAAAACCCAATGAATGTCCACGAAAGCCCCGAGCCCTGCGTGTGTTGCGGGCACTCCCATGGCCTGGCCAGACGTCCGCGGCTTTTGTGGTCCCATTTGCCGGGCCTGCTTGGTCAGTGCTGCCTCGGCTTGCTGCGCGGTATACGAGCTTCTCCATGGTTGTTTTTTCTTCGGTCGCACCGTTTCCTTCCCCTCCCCGCGCAGCCCCATACTCCGATCCGCAGGTCCCATACACTACGGGCGGCCAGTCTCATCATCAGCCAGGAAAAGAACGTACGCTGAAAAAAAACCCCAACAAGACGGGAGTAAAACCAGAGGAAAACACGGCACCCGCACAGCAAGCACATTTCAATACCCTGCCCGTCCCATAAAAACCGCCAGCCCAAAACAGGCCATAGACGGACATTTTTTCCTCACCATTGTGCTTACCAGCCGGTGATCGCCACGGCCCATATTTATTGCTGCTGGCCTCTGTTGAGTCAGCGTTCGCGGCTTCTTGCTCTCTGCGTGTGATCCAGGCCCTTCACGTTCTGGTGTGCCCCAGGCGCTCCGCCAAATGACGCTAAAATCAATAAGGCCCAAGCTAAAAGGCATCCTTTACGACACCACCGTCGAGGAGGAGGCGGTGCGCAAAATGCGGCAAAAGTCGTCGTCTGCCTCCGCCATCTTCGTGGGTCTCGTGGCTGCCATGGGCGGCTTTCTATACGGGTACGACACGGGCCTTATCAACGGCATCATGGAAATGTCCTACGTCAAGCAAGAAATCCCGTCCAACCACACCGATTTCAACGTGCACGAGCGGGCGCTTGTAACGGCGATTCTATCCATGGGGACTTTTGTGGGGGCCTTGGCGGCTCCGCTTATCTCCGACTCGTACGGGCGCAAGTTCTCCATCATCTTGAGCGCCGCTGTCATTTTCAACGTGGGGAACACGTTCCAGGTCGCGGCCACGGACGTGGCCTTTCTTTGCGCCGGCAGGGCCATTTCCGGCTTGGCCGTGGGAATTCTCTCTGCCATCGTGCCGTTGTACCAGGCCGAGGCCTCGCCCAAATGGGTGCGTGGTTCCATTGTGTTCACGTACCAATGGGCGATCACGTGGGGGCTCCTCATAGCGCTGGCCGTTTGCCAGGGCACCCGCAAAATCAACTCGAGTGCATCTTACCGCATCCCCATCGGCGTCCAGTACTTGTGGTCCATAGTGCTATGCGTTGGCATGCTCTTTCTCCCCGAGAGCCCGCGTTACTACGTGCAGAAAGACAACATCCAGGGTGCTCTCGACTCGTTGATCAAGCTACGGCGGCTCCCGCAGGAAGATCCCGACCTTATTGAAGAGCTAGTGGAGATCAAGGCCAACTACGACTACGAAATGTCCTTTGGGAGAACCACTTATCTCGACTGCTTTCGGCTGGGTGGCGCCCGCCACAAACAGGGCCTTCGTATGCTCACTGGGATGGGTGTGCAGCTTTTCCAGCAGTGCTCGGGAATCAACTTCATCTTCTACTACGGCGTCAATTTCTTCGCCTCCACGGGGGTGGAGAACTACTATTTGATGTCGTTCGTCACGTACTTGGTGAACGTGATCTTCACGGTCCCTGGAATTATTTTTATCGACATTATCGGAAGAAGACGGCTTCTCCTCATAGGCGGCATCGGCATGGCATTGAGCAACACCATCATTGCAATAGTGGGCGTGACTATGAGCTCTCACGAGGCGAGCTCGATCGTGAGCATTGCGCTCTCGTGCTGCTTCATTGCCTGTTTTGCTTCTTCATGGGGTGGGTGCACATGGGCCATTTGCTCCGACATCTACGGTATAAGCATCCGTCAGAAAGCCGTTTCCATCACTGCATCGACGAACTGGTTGGTTAACTTTGTGTTCGCGTACATCACGCCGTACTTGATTGATACGGGAGAACACACGGCCGCATTGGGCAACAAGATCTTTTTCATTTGGGGCGGCTGTAACGCCTTGGGCGTTGTTTTCGTGTACTTCATGGTCTACGAGACCAAGGGCCTTAAGTTGGAGGAGGTCGATTTCATGTACCAGATTTGCAAAAATTCCCGGGCTTCCACTAAGTTCAAAAGCAGGCGGTTTGACTTTTCCAGCTTGTTGCCCGACAATGGCATCATTAACAGCTTGGTCAACTCGCCACACAACGAGTGGGCAGACCCCAACCTGCAAGACAAAATGGAGTCTAACTCGTTTTCGTCTCACGGTGCGAAGAACACGCATTTATCTTCGGGCATTGAGATGGCTGGGCTTGCAGTAGGTCCCCAATTAGGCGAGGGTGGAATCGGTGGCTTGGACCAAGAGGTCACGGTTGTGCCTCACGAACACTTGCTTCAACCCGCTCTCAGCGATACATCGGATGATAGCGACTCCAGTGCAGCGAGCAACACGGCGACGGACTACCAAAACTATTTGCGTAATTTGCACGAGCAGGACTCAGCCAATTCGAGGCACACACTGACGTCATTCACTTCTGCATCCATTCTGCGAGGGCCAATGAGCCTGAAACAACAAGGCCACAAGCCGAGGACAAAATCGGTGATTTCTACGATGTCAAACGCAGGCAAAGCCATGGGGCATAGTGGTTCCATATTGCCGGCAACCAGCCCGTTGAACGAGCCCATCAGCTTGAATCTTGATGGCAGCGGGAATATGAAGATTATTGCTGCGCCATTCTACAACGAGCCACCGAGTGATTCAGATAGCGACGAGTGACGCGTGGATAGGACTATTTATGAGCGGAAGGGTAAAACAAAGGGAAAAAAATAAACAATTAGTCTTATCCCCGTGCTTCGTAAGGCTTTTAGGCATGTGTGGCCTATTTCCTGGTTTAGGCAAATTGCCAAATAACCCTCGGAATATGCATTCCGCGCACTGGCCCTCCCTGTAATAACGTTGCCGGTTGTGGCAGGCATTTCATCATGGAAGCATGAAAAGTATACGGATTCAGCACGAAGCCGCCCAATGGGGAAGGTGGCCGAGAACATGCAGTCCGCGCAGCTCGGGCCCAGCCGCGCCTGCAGGAGCACGCTTGCCCACCATGGGTTCCCGCGTGAAATGAAGGGAAAAAGGTGGGACCACCATATCGTGAGGAAGAGAAGAGAGTTCATGTGGCCCAGGTGGCCTCAACCACAGACAGAAGCCACAAACAGGACGCGTAAACTTACCATACCGGCAAAAACCTTGTTCCCCCCGGAAAAGAGCGGCTCGCATGACAATTTTGAGACGCCCTCGGAACTCTGCCGAGTCCTCCCGAATTGCTCCTGGAGTGAATTTGCCATGTGAGACTTCCAGTGAGAGCCCCGAGATCTCCAGGGCAGAGAGGAGCAGAAGCAAAAAAAGAAACGACAGAACATGCCGGGGCGGCCAAAGAGCGCAAGCCGCAGGCCCGATAGAAAAACCAGTCTTTTCCCGGCAGTTTCCCGGATGGCCTGACCGCAAGTTTGGTGTCATACTTTGCGAGAGCAGTCACCGCTCAGTGCACGCTTGCTTCGTAAGCCGCGCGGGCCGGGTGCACGGGTGTTTACCCCGCGACGCCACATACGAGCTGTCTCCAGGCCGGTGTGCCAGCACCACGGACCAGGCAGTCAAAACAGCACAAAATGCCCCCATCCGAAAACTACGCTATCCACGAGGCGGCCCGCGAAGGCCAGCTCTCCACCGTGCAGAACTTGGTGGCGCAGAACCCCGAGCTCGCCGTTTTGCAGGACGAGGACTCGCGCACCCCGCTCCACTGGGCTTGCACCATGAACAACGAGGACATCGTCGAGGCGCTTCTTCCATATGTCAAGGTCGACTTGGACGAGCTTGTAGATGATAGCGGCTGGACGCCGGTGCATATTATGGCGGCGCTTGGCAATCTGAAGGTGCTCGGCAGGCTCATGGACCGGGAGCCGCGGCCGGATATCAACTTGCCGACAAGCACCGGGGCCACGTGTCTCCATTTGGCCGTGAGCAAGAACCACTACGATGTTGTTTCCGAGCTCATCAACACCTACAAATGCTCGGTGCGAGCCAAGGACCGCGGCGGGTACACCGCGCTCCACCGGGCGGCGTCGGTGGGGAGCCAGCCGCTCATCCGGATGTTGGCGCAGGCCAAAGCGAACATGAATGCGGCAGATGCGGCTGGATGGACGCCCCTCCACCATGCGCTCGCGGAGGGCCACGGCGATGCGGGCGTTTTGTTGGTGCTGCTCGGAGCAAATGCGCAGGCCGAAAACGGCGCCGGGCAGACGCCTGCGGCAGTGGCTAGCGACGAGCACGTACGTAAGTTTTTTGAGAGTTCGCTCTGAAAACAGAGAAGAGTAAGGGGCCCACAGAGCATTTGAAGTAGGTGTGAAAACCGAGCCTTGGAGCCACTGTTGGGCAGGGCCGCATGGAACAATAAGGCAGGGGCCGATTTTTCTAGTGAGGCTGGAGAAGTGAGGCTGGAGGCCCGGAGAAGCAAAGATTATACACGCACCAATTTTTCCCCCGTCTCCTCCAAGCCGCTCTACTTATCGAAACGGGTGGCCCGTCTCGCCTGCCCATTTAACCACGAGTCGGCAACCCGGGCCATGGCCGGGATATATATTAGGCCCAAGCATGGAAGCAAGGAAGCCGGGTGCGCGAAGGCCGCCTGCACAATGACACCCTCGGAAGTGGCCGTCGCCTATTGTGGGAGAAAGCAAAATACCGCGTGTGCAGGCCGTGCGCACTCAGGGATGCATGATGCCGCTCACTGGGTCCCCGTTTCCTCAGATGTTGCTATGGTATGCCTTCCCGGCCCACCGAAGTATATATATCGAACTTGTCCGAGGCTGCGCACTGCACCACTTTTTTCCTTTCCAGTTCCAAGTGCAATTTTTTCAGACCCAACACCGTTTGTCTGTTCTTTGTCCATTGACTTCCTGTTGTCGTTTATACCAATTCTTTTCAGCCGTGCTCCCTCACCCCGGCCCGTGGTTCAAGTAAATTCCCATTGCTTCACCACCCCCTCCTTCTTTTCCCCGAAGAAGCCCCTTCGACAGACTAGACACAAACACACATCTCACATAAAATGTTGGCAATTGGCGATGTTATTTTGAGAGGCATCAACTTTGTTTTCTTGGTGATCGCCCTTGGTTTGACCGGCTCGCTTGCCGCCACCACTGTCTACCAGCTGAACTCACAGGTCAACTTTGCCGTGTTTGCCGCTGCGTTTGGCCTCTTGACCTCCTCCTTCTACGGAGTGTTGGCCTACTTTGTGGCCTCCTTTGCGTGGCCTTTGATTTTGGCTGTGCTCGACTTCTTGAACCTTGTGTTCACGTTCGCTGCCGCCACGGCCATTGCCGCCAACATCAGAGCGCACTCCTGTACTAACCAGGACTACCTTGACAGCAACACCATTACTCAGGGTGAGACTGACAGATGCAGAAAGGCCCAGGCCTCCGTTGCGTTCATCTACCTCTCGTTCGCCATGTTCTTGGCATCCGGTGTGTTCTCCATGATCTCTTTGTTCAAGGGAGGCATGTTCGGTTCCAAAAACACCTCCAAGGTCTAAGGCGCTGCCCGAAGCCAATTTTTTTTTTATAGCGCAAGCGGCGCACCCAAGTCTTGATGCATCACGTAATACATATAAGTCGCTGAGCACCGACACACCAAAATAGTGGGCCTCGGCCAACGATGTGCCCATCTGTGTTTTATATATAATAATTGTTCACACAAGAAAAACCGCTGTAGGCCCGATTCTCTGTAGTGCTGGTGTGCAGAAGCCCTCGGAACTTTGGGCTCGCCGCGTGCCCGAGTCCGGCTTCGCCAGGCCATGCCACCACGTGATGGACACAAAGACCGCTGTGTAGACTGTATTACTATTGCCCGGCTGAAATATGCTAGCGCTGGTTCTGGCGCTTCTTCTTCTCTCTCTCGTACTGGTTCTTCTCCGCACCCTCCACCGTCGAGATGGAGTTGACGATGTTGGCCATCTTGCGGTGGTAGTCCGAGTACATCTCCTTCTTCTCTTCGATCTGCTGCCTGGCCACGAACTTGGTCTGTTTCCGGATGTCTTTCAACGCCAGCTTCGTCTCCTTCTTGACCTGTGCCTTGACCTTGTTCAACTCCTGTCTCTCGCGGTTGATGTCGTACGACTTCTTGTCGGGGTTGAAGTTCTCCTCGAATTTCGGCGCAAACGTCTTGATCGACATCTTCTTGTGCTCCTGCAACGTCAACGGCCGGCGGCTCTGCACCTGGTTCCCAAGAAGCTTGCTGTACCTCGCCATCATCTCGCCCAATCTCGGCAACTGCCCGCTGTAGAACCGGGCGGCCACCTTCATGATGGCATTGAACGAGCGCAAGAGCTCGATGCACGCAGACTTCTCCTTCCACAATCCAACGCATTGATCCATGAGCGCGAGCGCCTTGCCAATCAATTGGAACTTGAGCAAGGCCTCGTCCGTGGGGCTCTCGAACAATGCCTGCACTCTGATGGGCGTATCTTCGAGCGGCTCTGGCTTGTAAGTCTTGCTGAGCTTGAGCCTGGACTTGCAGTCTCCGCCCGAGAGAGTGCCTTCAATTGGGGCCTGTACCGGCAAGAGGCTAACCAAGCAACGTTCCAAGAACTTGACGACCTCGGGATCAAATCTCTTGGCGAACGATTGGTAGCTTAGCAAGATCTCACAGACGAGCACGCCTTGGCCCAACTGCTGGACTGTCAAGTCGTCGCGCACACCAATGCACGCACTCAAGTACTGGTTCAAGAGAATCAACGCCGGCGTGACCACCAAATGGTAGTGGTCGGACGTCGAGAACACGTAGCCCAACACCACGAAAAACACAATGTCCTTTTTCTGCAACTGCGCCTTGACCACCCGCTCTTCGACCTCGGCCATGGTGGCGCGGATCACCTCGACAAGGGCCTCGTTGTATCTCTCGGCCAATGTCCTCAACAAGTGCGTGAGCGAATCCACCATCTGTGAGGGAGCGTCGGGCTGGTTGCCCACGGCCAAGATGTGCTCGAAGAGAATGCCCACAAAGACATCGGTTTTCTCCTTGTTTCCCTGCGCTAGACGTGGATCATATAGCGCGAGAATCTTCTTGACATGGGCAAGTGTCTGCTGTGTGTCCATGTCTTGCGTCTGGGAAGCGAGCTCCACGTGCGAGCCCGGCATCGAGACTGGCGGGGCAGATGCCTTTTTGAGCCTGCGGGCATACGGCCCATCGTCTTCGGCCCCCTCACTTTCGCTTCCATCGCTTGAGCCGTGGTCTTCGGCCTCGCTTCCATCATTTATAGCCACGCCCTCAGCCTCATCCCCGCTGCCGGCCCAGAACTCGTCGCCCAAGTCATCCGCGTCCTGCTCGCCCTGGTCCTGCAATCCAGTCATTCTCTTCATGCGGTCCTCCTCCAACTTCTTCATCTTGTCAGTATGTTCCTTGGCGATCTCCTCGTCGGTCTTCGTTCTGTCCGCGGGCACGGCTCTTCGGTCGTACGTGAGCTCACGCACCTTGGCATCGTAGTCGATATCCTGCTTGGACTTGGCGGTCATGCTCTGGTTGCTTTTGCGCTGCGAGTGGATTTCGCCCATCACGTCCGCAAAGTCGTCGTCCAAGTCCATGATCTCGTCCTGTGCTTTCTCAAACGCAGCCTGTCTCTGTCTTTTGTAGAACTTCGACTTGGCAATGACCTCGGCCATGACCTCCTTCTTGGATTTCTTGCGCGCAGGCTGGTCCGTGAGACTGTCCTCGTCCACGAACCGCTTCTCCGAGGCCGCACCCAAGCCTTCGTCGGCGAGGGTGTCGTTGTCGGCAAAAGCAAGCTTTTTGCCCGAATGTGTGAGGGCAAACCCACCGTCGGCGTCATCGTCGTCGTACTCGTCTTCACTGCCCAAAGAAAAGACGTTCTTTTTTGAACTACTCTGTCTTTCCCGCGTGAATCTCTGCAACATTTTCTCCTCCTGGGTCATGTGGCGATTGCTCTCTCCAAATCTGCGGTCAATGACCCCGCCGACCCGGTTCTTGACCTTTTTCTCGGCGTCGTAATCCAACCGCATGGCCTTTTCCACGGAGGAATGCGTTTTGGACGAGTCATTGTGTTGCTTTGAGCCCGCCTTGACAAACTTGCCCCCGGAAATGACGGTGAAATCGTGTTTCGACCGGTTGATACGCTGGTCAAACTTGTTGAACTCGTCCCGGATCTTGCTGATCTCCTTGCGCTTTTCCTCCTGGTCTTTTCTGGTTTCGGAGGGTGCGTTTTTCTTATTCTTGCGTTTGACGTTCGTCTGGCCCACGAGGCCTTTCGCCTTGAGCGCTTCCTTGAGCTGCTTGAGCTGCGATCCGGCCATTTTCAGTGGGGTGTGGTGCTGGGTACGCAGAAAAATAGAGACGCTGGGGTTATCTGTGATGTGCTAGATTGCATTCTCATCTCGCTGCGACTGGCGAGATGCGCATCTGAACCACGAAAAAAAGTTCCGCGATGCTCTGCCTCGGGTCACCTCAGCAAAAACTCTGGGACTAGACTCAAAATCTCCGATCTAGCCATGTTCTTCTGCTAGCGTGTAGCTTTTTTTTCATCCTTTCTCTTTTTGGCCCTAAGATTATTTAAGCCGTAACGGTGGTTTTCAGGTAGTCTTTAGATACCAGTGCCATCACCCGGCAACCGGCAAGGCCGCGCCATACTAGTCCATGCTGTTGACTATCGTGGGCTTCTGTTCAAGATTGCTTTTGAGGATGATATCCGTTTTCGGGATCAGCGCCCAACCTCCTGTTTTGAAAATTGGTTGATCATTCCCAAAACTCCTTTGCGGCCTTTTCTCCCGGGCTTTATACTGGCCTCTAGTGTATCAGAGAAATTGTATGAACTCTCATGTACCCCATCGTCTCTACCAGGCCCAGTATTTCCCAGACCAGCACGTCTACTCAAAACAACTGATGGCAGTGGTGCTTCTGGGTCCACAGTAACATGCTTTGGCATCGTTTCAGGGGCTTGCCTTTTGCCATTGCTCGCCTTGTTGCCATAACTCTCTAAGAAGTACATGTAGGATTTGATCATTTTGTCGTCCTGATAGTAGTCCTGAAGCTCCGAGTCAGTGCTGTCTTCACCAGAATCATCTGAGTCAGATCGCTTGGATTTTTGTTTTGGCCTTGCTGCAGGCATGCCCTTGGGTTTCTTTCCGCTCCGTTTTTTTTTGAGTTCAAACATCATATTTTTATCCTTCTCCTCAAAATTGAACATGGCAAAGTAGCAAACATACCCAAGCCCATCAACATGGATGGTGTATTCGCGAAAGAAGTCAATGATGGCGCTCGAGTTGTTCAGAATTTTGAACCAAAGAATGAACGGCGTGAGTATCAAACTCAAGATTTCATTGATAATAATGACGATCTTCAAGCTGAAGAGTTCACAGAACTTATTTTTGACTTCCACCGTATGGAGCTTACCATTCCACGAGCTTGGCAAATAGTGGGTAAACTGTGAAACGTATCTCAAACTTGCTTCGGGGTCATAGAAGAACGACACCCCTTGTGTGTTGAGATTTTCTGCTGTGTTTGTCACCGTGGACGTGTTTGCAGAACTGGAGGTGACTGCCCACAAAGTACCAAATACACTTATGTAGAAAAGGGTGCTTCTGTTTTGGGTAATCTCAAATGACCAGAAGTTGTGCTCTTCATCGTCGAATAGAAGACCGAAAATAACAAGTACGGCTAGAAAAGCGCTTGAAACAAAGTTCAAAAGCCGCAGAAGATTCACCATAAACACTCCGCCAGGGAATTGGTTTATGTACGTATTTGCTGGTCCGATCGAAAGATGCAATCTTTTGATGAATAAATGGGACAATTCATTGAACTCTCGGAGTTTCCACTCAGCCCACGGCGTATATTGCCGCAAACCCAACAAGGAAGATGGGTTAGATTTATACTCGTTGAAGTACCGGAAGAAGTACAATAAGACGAAGTATGTGACGATGAAAGGACAGAGAATCAAGTTGATTATAGCCGCCATTTTGAAGCGTGAGCTTAGTTCCTGGGCCAAAGCGTTGCGCGAGCTTTCTTTGAGAATGTCTTGGTTGATCTGCCCATTTTCACTAAAGACAAAGTTGTTTATGCAGAGCTTGATGTTCCACTCCAAAGTTCGTGTCAACACTGACTTGCTGGAGAATACAGAACGAAGAAAAGAGGGGCATGGAATCGAGAGGTCGAGCACGTCCTTGTTCACCAAGGCAATCATGTAGTTCTCCTTGCGCATGATTCGGTTGGCAATGTCGTGAGCGTTCAAGCGCACTTTTGAGTTCAAGTCATTGAGGAATTGCGGCGGAATATTGGCATTGGTGGACGTGAGAGAGTTTTGGTCCTTCAACTGCATCAACCTCTGGACAATGGTGGACCAGGAAATGGTCATCAACTCCAAATCGTCCGAAATCCCGAGAAGGTGCTTGTAGAAATTCAGAAGCTGCGACAACTTGTATCTGTAGTCGAAGTAGAGCTGTAGCATCCGGAGCGCTGTGTACCCAAAGAAGCCCAAAAGAAAAACCTTGACAGAGAATGGCACCCTGTCCATCAAAAAGTTTGCAATCACCAAATCCGCGAGCGTTAGATTGGTATCCGAGTTCGAGGACCACCCGTTAAAAAAGAAGTCGTAATCAATGCCCCATCTCAAGAACGTCGTGAATGAGAGAACAAACACGAGAATGGAAATGTCAACCACACGGGCAAGCACAATGCTGGAAAAGCCTTTGCCACGGTAGTAGTAGTAGACATCCATGAGAAACTCGTCCATATTCACGATATTGGCCCAGAGATAGAGCGCCCGTTCTCGGGGCGGGATTTCCATTCTTGAGCGTCTTGGGCGACTGTATTGAGAGCCAGCCCGGCTGGGGGGTTCAGTCGCTCGCTTATAGGAAAGTGGAGCTGCCAGCAGAGTGGCTTCTTTATGGAGAGGTCCCTTCCTTGGACCTGGTAGCTGGAACAGAATACTACGGGTGTCTGCTTTGTCAAATTCATTCAGAAACCCTAGACCTGCTTGGGATTCGAGACCGCCCTGACGTGTTGGTATATCCTGGGCATGGTTATGCACAGCAGAGGACCCCGTTTGGCCCCCACTATCGGGGAAAAGGCTTGCATCCGTCATTTGATTTTTCTGGGGGTTTCCCGAATAGTCGGTGGCGCGCAAGAGCGGCGAAGGCGGCAGCAGAGAGTCGGAGGATGAGAGATCCAGGCCGGATTCCGAGTCCAAGAGGTTTTTGTCAGGCGCCCTAAGAAAATCGGCCTGCCAGCCCTGCTCATTTCCTTCAGGGCCATTGATGTCCAGTGCTGATCGCAGGCTGCCGGGCAAAATAGCGCCGGCTCTGTGCCCCTGCAATTCGCCTGGATTTATATTGTAAATCTGGGATTCTGGGTCATAATACTGGTAGTTTTCAGGGAGGCTGTTGTACACTGAATGGAGTCCGAAGACCCGCGAGAGAAACGTGTCGCTGGTGGATAGCTCGCCATTGCTATCAGTATTGGCAGGACGCGGGGACATTTGAAACAGACTAGAAACAAACGCTGCGATCAGAAATTCGGCAAGGCTAGATATATCCGGAACAGCCGTGTATGTCTACTGTGACTGGCATGTACAGGTGATAAGCAGATAGGGCACGAGCAGTGCGTGCGCACTACCGATAAGCAGAGAACATATTCAAGTGAGAGGCAAGAAGAAGGCGAGATTTCTGTTTTGATTGAATGGATGAAAGTTGGTGCTACAATGCGGGCTTGGAATGGCACGGGTGGCATATGGGGTGTCTTGGAGGAGTATACTGCAATGTTCTGGGCAGTCTCACGTGACCCGAGCCTTTGGCTAAGTCGGGGATTACAGTCTGGGGCATATTGGTTTACTGGACGCAGCTTGCCAAATGCAAAGAGAGATATCAAGGTGATGACAGAAATAATTACTGGGATCCCTGCTTAAGGATCTGGGAATGGCTGAATTTCGGTAGAATTATCGTTGCTTTTCTCAAGACCTTTGATCGGTACGCTGACAGAATCCGTGGGTCACGTGACCGAGACACCCTTTTCTCCAGCTCCGAGGACACAAAAAATATTATTGATTTTGTGAGATACTGATGTTTAGAGTTGAATCCATTGATTGCGAATTTTTGAAAACTTCCCAAGAATCTTCAAGTCTGAATTAATTCCCCAATATGAGCCCTCATGCGACCGCAGCTTTAAACGCGTAGTTGTGAGCAAGTGCAAAGTTACGACGGCAACTGGAATTAAATGCAAATGAAAATAAATCAAATTTTATATGACGTAGAATAAACAACTCATAGAATGACCAAAAAGATCGAGAAACATAAGTAGGCCTCCAATTGCTGGACCACTCTAGGCGACCCTCCTATGTTCAAATAAGTGTTCCTACGGTGCCACATCATAAAGACCAATTTGAGCCCTGTCTCAGAAACCAAACTAGCAAGCACTTCATTTGCAAGCATTACAAGACTACGCGGTGCAATGCTAGTCTCGTTATGTGGCACCTTCCTGCGTAGCCATGCTTTCGGTGTGAATTGCTATGCGTTTTGAAAGAGACCATTTGAACAATCCGTCACCATGATCGAAAGTGTACAATATCAGCTCAGAAGAACAAAAAAGATTCTGGGAGTGAGACTGCACCAGAAGATCACATGACCAGATAGTGACACTGTGTTAATGACTTCACATGTCCACCAACACGCAGTCTCAAGTCTGTTAAGAGAGTCCTGCTTGCCATCACCGAAAGCGCCCTACAAAGCAAGTTTGGCCGTGCAGCATATACTTTTTCTTGTTTAGAGTTCAAGCCTTGCAAAATGTCGCGTCGCCATCGCGCCGTTCTTGTATGTAGGATTACAAGGCGGATCTCGCTTTTTGCTCGACGGTTTGCATTGGCCGGAAAATGCCTGAACGGGCTGATCACCTTGGAAAGCACCATGCTGTATCAGTGTGAGAATCTTTCAAATCGCATCCCCTCAAAGCATATCCTCGCCTAAAAATAGAGCATGCTCTGAAATTAGCGTGTTGTCTCAGCCACGCATCGGATGAGCACAGCCCTGAATGATGTGGATTGCTAGGAGTAAAGAGGCGCGACACGCCTATAATTAGAAAGTCCGACGCACTGCACAAACTGAATGTGTGAAAAAAGAGACTTGCGGAAAAACCGTCCATGTCCCAATTGAAGACCGACAAAGTTTCAGTGGCACCAAGTTTTTCATGACAAACGTTCCTTTGACACAATGCCGCCAGGAAATAGCATTTCGGGCCGGCTGCGCTCGTGAGAAACTGCGGGTCTCACAGATCCTAGCTGCTAAAAAGCAATCCACGAATCGTGGCTCTCGTGTATGCACACTTCGTGAGAAGCATAGAGATGTCAAACATTCTCTTTGTTGGTTCGTCGCGTGTCCGGCATGCAAAGTCTGCGTTCTGAGGCACTCATGGATTTCGAGATCTGATCCAGGTTGATCCAGGCCATTTTAGAAAAAAAGCCACTCGCAACTCTTAAACGCTTCCACACGGTCTGCCATTTTCTTTTCTAATAGACTTACAAGGCGGCTTTGCGTTTTGATTGATCTTTCTTTCCGGCAGAGGCACCCTAGTATCTTCCAACCCTTTTCAATCATTCCTTTCAGTACGATCTTTCTTTAGGACCACACAAAGGACTTCCTGATAAACGTTTGTCGCCTCTTGTTTGGAAATGCCGCAAAGGGATTTGACATTCAACCGAAACCCGGATTTGGTGGCCGAGGACAACGGCCAAAACCCATTTGAATCGGAGCTGGACGGCTCTCGCAGCGCCTCTGGTCTGTCGCTCAACTCCTTGCTGAACGACGAGAGAAATAACCGAGAAGAGTATGGCCAAAGCTATGGTGCGTATGCCGGCGACGACTCGCAAAACGGCACCCACCTGAACTTGTTGCTGCACAACACCTCGCGGGAAGAATACGGACTGTCTGCGGGGCCGCAGAATACCGGCAATTTCCCCTCTGAATTTGAACGGTATCCCTCGATGGCGACGTCTCGTGTGGTGTCGTCTGCCTCCTTGGCCTCGCAATTGCACAACTTGCCTCCAAACGAGAGCTCGTTGAGCCCCGATGATTCCTCGGCAAGATCTGCGGATCCGTTGGGTACCAACATCGACTTCTCGCCGTTTGGCGGGTACCCGGCGCTGTCATTCCCGTTGCACATCGACGAGAAGGAGGAGGACGACTTCTTGCACAACCCGGACCCGATCGCGGACGCCGAGTATGAGAAAAACCGGTTCATGCATGACATGAAGCACATGGACCGCCGGTCTTTCTACGGGTTGTTGGGCTTCATTGTGTTTTTCATCTTTGCTGTCATGATCTTTGTTGTCTTGCCAGTCTTGACGTACACAGGCATCACGGAAGGATACACGGCGGAGTCGTACGAGGTCTTGACGTCGTACGAGTACCCGCTTTCCGCGGCCATCCGCACCAGTTTGATCGACCCAGACACGCCCTCCAGTGCACGGACAAAGACCAGCATCACCGGCGAGGAGTGGGTGCTCACGTTTTCCGACGAGTTCAACGCCGAGGGGAGAACCTTCTATGATGGCGACGACCAGTTCTTCCAGGCAGTGGACATGAACTATGCTGCCACCAAGGACCTCGAGTGGTACGACCCCGATGCGGTCACCACTGCCAACGGAACTTTGGTCTTGAGAATGGACGCATACGAAAACCACGACTTGTACTACCGCTCGGGGATGGTGCAGTCGTGGAACAAGCTCTGCTTCACGCAAGGCATGATTGTTGTCTCGGCCATGTTGCCCAATTATGGTAATGTATCAGGTTTGTGGCCTGGTCTCTGGACCATGGGCAACTTGGGGCGGCCCGGATATTTGGCCACGGCCGAAGGCGTGTGGCCGTACTCGTACGATAGCTGTGACGCCGGAATCACGGCCAACCAGTCGTCGCCGTACGGAATCTCGTACTTGCCTGGCCAGAAGTTGAACAAGTGCACGTGTGCCGGCGAAGACCACCCCAACCGAGGAACCGGCCGTGGCGCTCCGGAAATCGATATTCTTGAAGGTGCGGTGGACACCACCATCAAAGTCGGGGTGGCCTCCCAGTCGCTCCAGGTGGCACCCATGGATATCTGGTATATGCCCGACTATAACTTCGTGGAGATTTACAACAGCGAGGTGACCACCATGAACACCTATGCCGGAGGCCCGTTCCAGCAGGCCGTGTCTGCAACTTCGACACTCAACGTGACGTGGTACCAGTACGGCGACCACGACCACGACTACCAAAACTTCGGGTTTGAGTACTTGAACGACGACGACACCGGCCACTTGACGTGGTATGTGGGCGACAACGCCACGTTCTCCATCACCTCGTACGCCTTGGGCCCAAACGGAAACATTGGATTCCGGCATCTCTCCAGAGAGCCCATGTCCATCATCATGAACTTGGGTATTTCCAACAACTGGGCGTACATCGACTGGCCGTCCATCCAATTCCCCAGCATGATGCACGTGGATTACGTCAGAGTATACCAACCAGAGGACGACATCAACATGACCTGCGATCCGGATGACTACCCAACCGCAGACTATATTTCCGACCACGCCAACGCATACGCCAACGAAAATTTGACGTCGTGGGAAGATGCCGGGTATACTTTCCCCAAGAACTCACTTATTTATGATTGTTAGAGTGAGTGCAAGACGATTGCCATGATTTGGCGGTAAAGCCCGATCCGTGGGAATGAACATTTGAAGAAGGACATTACAGGGAAGGCGCTGGCCGGTGCTAGGCCAATGCTTAGTAGTGCTGGGCCAATGCTTAGTAGTGCTGGGCTGAAAAGCCATTGGAATCGCGACATCAGCATATCAACGACGAAGTCGCATTTCGGAACCTGTCATTCTCAGCAATCTGACATGTGTGATTCTCAGAGAAATAACGAGCGTTTCCCAACAGCGAGCCCGGCCCTTCAAATGTGCTTGGATTCCCGAGAACTACGCTCGCCGCATAGCCTACGCCAAGACCAGGCTGGTTGCGAGAATGCAACTTAGCAAGTGGGTTGCACCGTGTGTGCAGGTGTCTATATATGGGCCCTGTGCGTGTGCCCCAATGGGGAACAACAATAGCACGGAGTCCAATGCCAAGCTGGCGCCGGCCGGATCTGCCTTCACGCAAGAAAAGCAGCGAGTGTCCACTCTTGAGCCCGTGCGCTGCAAGTCCGTGGCGCCCTGTTCTTCAACCCCCGGAGAGCCCGGTCACGTGCCCGATATCCTGGCCCAGGCCAGCTCGGTGCTCGCTGGCTACGCAAGGTCGGGCATCTGGAGCGTCGCGTCCTGCACACGGCCGCCCCGCACCCGTGGGGCCTGGAGGCTCGCACTACACGAGCGCCGCAGACGGCCAAGCTTTCCCATTCTTGCTCGCGGCGCACGGTATTTTTAAGTTTGGGCCCAGTGAGGATGCCTGGCCCCGGCGTCTTGGCGTTTGCTCGCTTATATTCCAAAAGTGGGAGGGCTCGTTTTTCTTACTCTTGTTTTCTGCAAATCGCCCGGGCATCGTTGACACCCTCCGTTGCACTTTATTTCGTGTCAGGAAAGCCGACTATTTGCTTTGTTCCGCGGCGCCACAGCTTCCCCGTGCGGCTAGACCAGGAAAGAACAACCAAGCCCCATCAAGCCTCAACACATCAAGGGCCCTGTTTCTCGGTGCAACCGCTCGTATTCCCGACGACAAGAAAACCGGCCACCCTCATTTCAGGCCCCGACGCTTCCACGAGGACTTTAGATACGCTGGAAAAGACTGACCCCAAATCAACATTCTTTATTAGTATTGCGCTTGACACCTCCAGGTCCGGTTCCTTGTAAGCTCACAGGTAGACGCCTTTGCCTGCCACTTTAGGCTCCCTTGACTACCACACCCCCATCATTGGCGGCTAGCAGAAGTGGACACTCCTCAAACCAAGAGAGGCCAAAAAAAAAAAAAGGAATACACCAACACATGTCTCGCAGGGACTTGACCCACAATGACCCGGCGCGTGGGCCCCCCGCCTATAATCCTTTTGAGAAACAGCCATCTGACGACGACCTTGATTTCATCAACAGCCAGTCCAACCTAGCCATGCACTCCCAGGATTACGGCCACGGCAGCAACTCACAGGCCCTCTATAGAGATAGCTTGGAATCGGGCGTGCCTAGAACGCCTCGTGACAGCATGGGGCAGATCCAGCAGCAACTCACCGGCACATCCTCTCCGTCGCTGAACGTGCTTGTCGGGCCGTCGCTGTTTGACCGGTACCCGCAAATGCTCCATGCGAGAGAACACTCGTCCGGGTCGCTTGCGTCCAACTTTGCTCAGCAACAAAGGCCCCTGCGGCAATCGCAGTCCGACTCGCCCGGCTCAAGCACGCAGAACCTCATCGACCCCTTCTCGCAGAACGCCGAGCTCTCGCCGTTTGGCGGCTACCCCGCGTCGCAGTTCCCGTTGCACATTGACGAGAAGGAGGAAGACGACTTCTTGCATAACCCGGACCCCATTGCGGACGCCGCCTACGACAAAAACAGGTTCTTGTACGACATGAAGCACATGGACCGCCGGTCGTTCTTTGGGCTTGTGGGCTACGTACTCATTTTGTTGGCGGCCGCGGCCGTGTTTATCGTTCTCCCGGTCGTGACCTATTCGGGCTCCGCCAGTCAAAGCAAGCCGGAGTCGTACGAGGTTTTGACCCAGTTCTCGTACCCACTTTCGTCTGCAATCAGGACGAGCCTCATCGACCCGGACACTCCTAGCGCCAACCTTACAAAGACGACCAGAACAGGCGAGGAGTGGGTGCTCACCTTCTCGGACGAGTTCAACGCCGAGGGCAGAACCTTCTACGATGGCGATGACCAGTTCTTCCAGGGGGTGGATATCCACTACGACGCAACGAAAGATCTCGAGTGGTACGACCCCGATGCGGTCACCACTGCCAACGGAACTTTGGTTTTGAGAATGGACGCATACGAAAACCACGACTTGTACTACCGCTCGGGGATGGTGCAGTCGTGGAACAAGCTATGCTTTCTGCAGGGAATGATCGTGGTTTCTGCATTGTTGCCTGGGTACGGAAACATCTCGGGCTTGTGGCCCGGTCTCTGGACATTGGGCAACTTGGGCAGACCCGGGTATTTGGGCACGACCGAGGGCGTGTGGCCATACACATATGATAGTTGTGATTCTGGAATTACGGCCAACCAGTCGTCGCCAGACGGAATCTCCTATTTGCCTGGACAGAAGCTCAATGTGTGCACGTGCCCCGGCGAGAGCCACCCGAATACAGGTGTTGGTCGCGGCTCTCCGGAAATTGATATCGTGGAAGGGTCCGTGGATTCCATTCTCAAAGTTGGTGTTGTTTCGCAGTCTTATCAAGTTGCCCCTATGGATATATGGTACATGCCTGACTACAACTTTGTGGAGATTTACAACCATGAAGTGACGGCCATGAACACATATGCGGGGGGCCCCTTCCAGCAAGCCGTATCGATCTTGTCCACTTTAAACACGACATGGTATACCGACGGCGACTACAGCGGGAATTTCCAAGACTATGGTTTCGAATACCTAAATGACAATGACGATGGATATATAACCTTGTATGTTGGCCAGGACCCGGTGGTCACTGTGAACGCCTATGCATTGGGACCCAACGGAAACATTGGCTTCAGACGTATTTCAAAAGAGCCAATGTCGTTGATTATGAACTTGGGCATCTCGAACAACTGGGCTTACATCGACTGGCCAGCGTTGAGATTTCCTCTACTGATGAGAGTCGACTATGTGAGAATATACCAGCCAGCAGATAGCATTCTGATGACCTGCGATCCGGAAGGTTACCCTACAACTGAGTACATCTCGAACCACGGGAATGTGTATAACAACGTCAACCTTACGTCTTGGGAAGATGCGGGGTACACCTTCCCCAAAAACAGGCTCGTGCATGGATGCTAGCTGTGGGTTTGTCATTACCTCCGGGGTGGGTGCAGAATACACCAGAATCTAGAATCTTGATCTGCGTAGTCGGACGCCACACACTCTTTATATCTATTTACATGTGAATCATAACAACCTCACGAGTATTTCGAAAACACAACACTAGAATTCACGCCCCCAAATCCAAACGAGTTACACAACGCATGCAGAATCGTCTTTTGCCGGCTATGCTCTGGGACATAGTCAAAGGCCGAGAACTGCGTGGCATCGTCTCCTTTATGGCCACCTTTCCCGGTCAAATTCAACGTAGCAGGAATGTTCCCAGTCTGCAATGCTTTCAAAGTGAATGCAGCCTCGACTGCGCCAGCCGCACCGAGAAGATGCCCAATGGAAGACTTGGTGGAAGAGACAGACAAGTCCTGATGGCCCGCGAACAACCGATTGATGGCGTTGTTTTCGGCACGGTCGCCAATCACTGTTGACGTGGCATGTGCGTTGACATACCCAATCTCGTGAGGGTCTACCTTTGCGCGCTTGACTGCCATTTGCATTGCCCTGAACGCACCTTCGCCTGATTCCTCGGGTGCTGTGATGTGGTGCGCATCGCCACATAACCCGTAACCAGTGACTTCGCCATAGAATTGAGTCACACCACGAGCAAGCGCATGGTCAAGTTTTTCCAAAACCAAAATTCCGCATCCCTCGCTTAGCACGAAACCGCTCCTGGCCGCGTCAAACGGCCTTGAAGCAGCAATAGGGTCATCTTCGAAATCCGTGACCACCGACCGTGCCCGGGAAAACCCGGCAAGAGCCAAGGGGTGCAAGGAAGCCTCAGTGCCTCCGCAGATCATGACATTGGCATAGTCGTTTTGAAGGAAGTTATACGCGTCTCCGATGGCGTTGAGCCCGGTCGCACACGCAGTTGACACCGAGTGAAGGGGGCCTTTGAGCCCGTGTTTGATGGATATGTTTCCGGCAGCCATGTTGTTCAAAAGCTTGGGGATGAACAATGGCTGCACGCGCTTGTAGCCCGCGGAATCAAACGCAACTGAGTTGTCGTACACGTCCGCAAAGGAGCCGATGCCCGAGCCAACAGCCACGCCGACGGTGGTTTTATCGATGGAATCGGTACCCGTAAAATCTAGCTTTGCATCGTCCACGGCCTCTTGTGTTGCTACCAATGCATACTGGGAGAACAACGCGAGCCGCCGAGCCTCGCCGGGATCCAAATGATCTAGCACGTCCCACTTCCCGTCCTTGACACTGCCCCTCGGTACCTGGCCCACGACTTTTGAAGGAACCTTGCTCCAACCAGCGGAGTCGTAATCCGCAAAGCCCTTGGTCGAGACCAATCCTGATTTCCCGGCCACGAGATTTTGCCACGTGTGCCTGAGGCCGACGCCTAGCGGAGTGACGAGTCCAATCCCTGTGACGACCACTCTTGTCATGACTCGATTCGGTTTTTTCTTATACAAGCTGGGGCGGATGCGAAAACGTAGGGTATAATTTTCGTAATACAGCTTCGTCTGCCGCTTTTTTCAATGTTTCTCGTATGCCTTTACGCGGGCTGATCCAGATGGCTGAAACCCGGACTGCGACTCTAGTAGATGCAATCATGCAGAGTTGACTGCGGGGCCAAGGAAAAATGCGGGATTTGGAATGTTAGCCATTCAGCCGGGAGACTGAGGGATTATGCAGGCCCGGGTATCTTGCCTTGGCCCCGCCGTAGCGATATTTGCAGCCAAGCCAATGCCTAAACTTATGGGATTTAGGGGGTTGGAATGAGGCAGTTGGATAAGTCACAATTTGCCTTCTTACAGCCAGAAAACGCGGCTGACATCAAAGGACGGCAACAGCTCGGGATCGATTCAGATCCACTTATGGGCACTTTCCTCAGGCCGATTGGCTTTGAAAGGGCCCTGTTGAAAATTTTGATCAGTAATAGTACGAGGAGAATATTGAAAGTTTCGGCTTGGCCCGCTGTCAATATTGAGTGGGATAGCAATGAACTTTGGAATCCTATATTTTCGCTGGTCGGGAGTTTTAGATCTGGCGAAGAAAGAAGCCGTAACCCTTGACATAATTTGGATATGACAGGGATCCCAGTTTCAAGTCTCAGGGTTTTCTGTTCTGTTTTTCAGATTTAGCAGACCAGAAGAAAGGGGCATGTTGCCGCCGGTTAGCATTTTGGTGGTGAATCGCGCAAATCACCTTTTGTGGCGCACTAAATTACAGCTTGGGGCACAGGAAAAAACTGAGATCCTGAGTTATTTGGAAATGTAGGCATATAATGAGATAATTACTTTTATCGTTCAGGATTCGAAGTCTTGATAGAAGTGAATGATGTATTTCCTTTGCTAGGGCCCTCGCGAGGAAGATGGTCAATTCTTTTGGGATGGATGTGTCCAAGTCCATATCTATTATCATCGGCTGATCTGAATTTGAAGAAGAATCGGATTTCTGGTTCTGAGATTGAGGGACTGCACGAACAGTATGCTTCAACAGATGATACTGGTGCTGATTAGAGATGCAGCATTTCACATTTGAAACATCGTCATGAGCAGCAGAAAAAGCTTCCCGCTTGAAACTTATGATTTGAACTCAGAGACTTGCACTCACAATATGTCCCAGCTTAGACTAAACTATATGAATGTTCTAGTTCTGAATGAATATATACGCATATATTGCATTTTGCCAAATTATTCAAATGTTCCTCGACTATATCTTAGAATAGGAGAGACTTTAAGGAGATCCAGATATCTAACCAAATCAAGTTTTTTTTTCCCAAGCATTGCACCTAAAACTTGTTGCGTCCCTATCGAAACACCCTGATGTCGTACTTTGTTAAGTGATTTGAGCGTATCAATCATCAGACATAAAAGGGATTTTGGTTAAATCTCTTTGGATAGTAGAGCAAGGACAGTTCATCAACCAAAATCTGTGAACGTAGAAAACAGTAGAGACGATGCCCATCAACATATATATAGCATCATGCGTCGGACACCGACTCCATACATATTGTCTCATACTTCCCGGGAAAAGAGAGAATGACTGGGTTTAATTGCTTCCAACTACGTAGATACCGAGCCAAAGAAAAATTGGCTTGGTTATTGTAACGTCATGGGCGTGACTACACTTGGAATATTGAAATACTACTTTTTCTTGAAGCTGATCCACAATCGCCAAGAAATTACATGCTCGACCGATTATAATATTTGTTTTGCTGGATACGATATCATATTTGGTGGCTATTCACTTTCTGCTTACTGTCTTTTTCGAACACATACTTTATATATTGTTATCTGTATATATTTTATGTGATTTCCCAGGATAAACAAGGATGAATTTCTCTTTTCTTACTACTAGCTTTTGTTCTCGCTCTTCTCGAAGTGACTTGTTTTCCATATCGACATGTTCGACGTTCTTCTTTCAAAAGCTTCAGGTACTAAGATATCTAAAACTCAAATAGGGAGAGAGCTGAGTTTCACACGGGAAGATTCAAAATCCACTACATACATTTATTCGCATTCCTGAAGTACAGAAAATAAAGATCCTTTTATGATGTAGATTTAACAACCTGCGACATTCATCTCAGCATGGTCTTACCCACGGTAAATATTTTGGATCCCCGGAAGATTCATGAAGCCAAAGCATACATTTTGATAATTAGTTACTGATCGAGAATAGTCGTCGAAGGAGTATTGTGGTTTTCATATGAACATAGTTTAGGACGCCGCTGGCAGGAGATTCTATGATGATTTGAGATTCAATGAACGTGGTTAAAAGCCACACCAATGTATTATTTGTGAAGTTTTGATAAGTGTTCTTTGCTCAAAATGCCTGTCTAGCAGACCATCAATACCCTTTGAATGCAAGGTCAGTGGCTCATATTTTGTAGTGCTTAGAGTAGCAGAATTGGTTGAAAATCCTTTCTTTCAAAAACTACTAATGATGAAGGCCAAAATACACTTACTTGAGTACGCTGAAGCAAAACTGGTGAAGTTTTGGCATCCATATACATGCTTTCCTGAAGGAAGTCTCAAAGCATACAAAACCTGGTGACGAGGTTCTCACCAACTGTTTCAGTGAAGCTAATGCGGAAGCCCACCGGAGGTTCAGAATATTAACAAACGTTAGTAGATTTACTGAAAGCATTATCAGCTCCTTTCATGGTAAGTGACCGTGATTTATCAGCGGTGTGTTTGGTTGGTCCTCCTTAGTCTACTTACCAAGGATAGAACATCTCGGCATAGCCTGATGAGTTTGCACATTCCAACTGGGCTTCTTATTTCGTTTACCGTTGAGTGAGCTTTTTGTCATCAGAGGTATACTTTGATATCTTTTTTATTGCCGGAAAAATAGAGACAAAGAGAAGTTCTAGGGAAAAGGCCATGCTGCTTTTAGCGACCTACTGTGACTCGTCCTCAATAATTCAAAAATTAGTAACCTTGCATTCGCTTGTGCTTTCCGGTAAGTCTCGACAGAACTAATTTTCGAGCAGAACTGTGAGCGGATGACACATAAAGTCTTTATTCCAGGCAACGGGTGATGCGGAGGTAAAGCCGACGTTGAAACGCTAATTAGCCTCAAAGAAAAATGCCATTCTCTGCCCAGTATTTTTATTTCTTGAGTCGTACAGAAAAAGTGGCAAGCGCTTTGATTACCTTCGGCCCATATACAATCAGCACAAGGCTGACCAAATTTAAATACGGTTTGGCAGCCACAAGCGCTTGAAATGTTTTGGTAGGATAGAAGACAGGAGAGGAGACGTATAATCAAAGGTGGAGATTGTGATGGATGATGCACTGGGGGAGACCGATGCTTTTGAGTTGCATGTTGCGAATGAAGCACCGTAGTCACCTGCACTGTCAAGAATGTGAAAGCAGGGGAGAATGGTAAGAGCTGTGTACACCTTTCCGAGGACCTACCACGGGTTTGATGGCTAGAGGGAAGATAGGTGGAGTGGATGCCATGGCAAGATAGTTTATAGGAAGAGTTGAACACTAACATGAGCTATCATCGTGGAAGCATAAGAGAGCCTATTGAGAGAATAATACCGTAAAAGAAGATTTAAGGCGAGCGGAGAATAAGTGTTCTTTTTCGTGCAGCTAAAGACGCGATATGAGGAGCAACAGAAGGAATAATTGTCTTTATGTAAGAGAGGAGGATGCTGTAGAAGCGAAATTCATAGAAAGATCAAGTCTTTAAGCGCTGTAGTAGTGAAAACGGAAGCACGGTGGGAGCTGTGGTGCTATATAATCACGTAGTAAGTGCTGCATCCCTGAACAGGGGACTTTTATACGTGAGACGAGAAAAGACTCAGCACTAGTTGGATACAAGACAATAAGACAAAAAAAGGAAATACATCAGAAATTAATGCAGTTTTCAACAAAGAAGAAATTACCGAAAGCGTTAAAGACTAAACGGGATTTTTATTTTAGCTGACATAAAGAATAGAGCGTAGCGGGTTTGGTATGGCGAGGCACGACGTACTTAAGGTTATAGTGACAGGGACAGGGGGGTGATAATAGTCATGATATATTATATATTTTATGTACCATTAACATTACATTCAAATATATAAAATTATTATGTATTCCTTAGAATTCAAAACAGAGAACAGTTAAGAGGTGTTGTGGAATGGGCGTCGTGGTAGTATATGGCTTCGTACAGAGCGAGACAGGAGAGGAACTGTACGGGAGACGTAAGACACACGCAACCCATACCTAAAAAGGCTTTACGCAAAAGCTAAGAGCATTGTGAGCTGATTTGCAAAGGAGACTAAATGCGATAGAAGGTCTGGTCTAGAATCCGAGAGCCCAAAGAAACTCAACTGAGACTCAATAAAAATTGACATGTCAAATGAGACAAAACATAGTGATGGCGTAAGGCGAGCTGCAAGAGTAAGCAAGAGACCAAATGTATACTGCAGGCAAGTTAGAACAGGCCGTAAACCCAAGAACAAATAGGGAGGTCAGAACAATGATGGAATACGCATTCAGAGCTACCGCAAATTAAGGGACACTGAAATTTGCAGTGGTGTAAAACCCAGATAAAAAAACCAGAAAGCCACAAAAACAAGCAAACACAATACAGCTGCCGCATCAAAACCAAGTCGGAAAGAGCTCTGAAGACAGCGTTAGAAGCCGCAGTCAGGACTACAATCAAACCCGCACTGGAACCACGAGCTGCAACACCCAAGACAAAGGACCCGTCTGCTGTGGCCAGAATAAACCCAAAAGATCTGCAATAAAAAACAAAACAAAACAAAAAAAAAACATACACGCCGCTGCTCAGAGCTCGGCACCAAATCGCCGCCGCACCCCACAAGCTCGTTCACACGGTATAGTTACGTTATAGCCAGGGCCTGGGACCCACAATCGACGCACCGGTTCTGCCCAGGCCGCGTATGGACCGGGGCGTCGCCCGAACAAAGCGCATCAGCCAATTTAAAAAGCCAAGGCCCAGAGCCCCAACCACTAAGTCCACCCAAACAGCCCAAACCAACCAAAACAGCCAAACCAACCAAAACAGCCAAACCAACCAAATCCCCAAACCAACCAAAAAAAGAACAGAAAACAAAACCCCAAACCAACCAAAAAAAGAACAGAAAACAAAACCCCAAACCAACCAAAAAAAGAACAGAAAACAAACCCCCAAAAACCCGGAGACCGCCGACACCAGCGGCGCCCTGGGCCCGCGCCAGGCGCGGCGTGCCGCACCCAACTTCCCGTTTTCTGCGCGCCTACCGTCAACTGAAGCCCAAACCTCGCAAGCACCACCCTTCTTTCCTCACCCCTCCACAAGCACCCGCCCCCTATTGCAGCATGTTTTCGGCCGCGCGCTCAGACACGCTTTTCCTCGGCGGCGAGAAGGTCTCCGGCGACGACATCCGCAACCAAAACGTGATGGCCGCGCTCGCCGTGGCCAACGTGGTCAAATCCTCGCTCGGCCCCGTGGGGCTCGACAAAATGCTCGTGGACGACATTGGCGACGTGACCGTCACCAACGACGGCGCCACGATCTTGTCCTTGTTGGACGTGCAGCACCCGGCGGGCAAGATCTTGGTGGAGTTGGCGCAGCAGCAGGACCGGGAGGTTGGCGACGGCACGACCTCGGTGGTGATCATAGCCAGCGAGTTGTTGCGGCGGGCCCACGAGTTGGTGCGTACCCGCATCCACCCGACCACGGTGATCACGGGCTACCGCTTGGCGTTGAAGGAGGCCGTGCGCTACATCAACGAGGTGCTCCTGCAGGACGTGGCGGGCTTGGGCCAGCAGACGTTGGTCAGCATTGCCCGCACGTCCATGCTGCTGAAGATCCTCGGCGCGGACTCCGCGTTCTTTGCGCAGATGGTGGTGGACGCCATGCTCGCGGTCAAGACCACCAACCCGAAGGGCGAGACCAAGTACCCGGTCAAGGCCGTGAACATCTTGAAGGCCCACGGCAAGTCGTCGCTCGAGTCCGTGTTGGTGCACGGCTACGCGCTCAACTGCACCGTGGCGTCGCAGGCCATGGTCAAGCGCGTGGCCAACGCGCGCATCGCGTGCTTGGACATCAACTTGCAGAAGGCCCGCATGGCCATGGGCGTGCAGATCAACATCGACGACCCGGACCAGCTCGAGGAGATCCGCAAGCGCGAGTACGGCATAGTGATCGAGCGCATCCGCAAGATCATCAACGCGGGCGCCAACGTGGTCTTGACCACCAAGGGCATCGACGACTTGTGCTTGAAGGAGTTCGTGGAGGTGGGCGCCATGGCCGTGCGCCGCTGCAAGAAGGACGACTTGCGCCGCATCGCGCGCGCCACGGGCGCCACCTTGGTCGGCAACTTGGCCAACTTGGAGGGCGACGAGACCTTCGAGGCCTCCTACTTGGGCCACGCCGACGAGGTGGTGCAGACCAAGATCAGCGACGACGAGTGCATCCTCGTCAAGGGCACGCGCCAGCACTCGCTGTCCTCCATCATCTTGCGCGGCGCCAACGAGTACTCCTTGGACGAGATGCAGCGCTCCATCCACGACTCCTTGAGCGTGGTCAAGCGCACCTTGGAGAGCGGCCACGTGGTGCCCGGCGGCGGCGCGGTCGAGACTGCGCTGAACATCTACCTCGAGAAGTTCGCCACCACCGTGGGCTCGCGCGAGCAGATGGCCATTGCCGAGTTCGCCAACGCGTTGCTCGTCATCCCCAAGACCTTGGCCGTCAACGCCGCCAAGGACTCGTCCGAGTTGATCGCCAAGTTGCGCACCTATCACGCGGCCTCCCAGGTCGCGTTGAAGGACGACGTCAAGAGACAGAAGTACAAGAACTACGGCTTGGACTTGCTCAACGGCAAGATCGTCAACGAGGTCTCCACGGGCGTGTTGGAGCCCACCTTGTCCAAGGTCAAGTCGTTGAAGTCCGCATTGGAGGCCTGCATCTCCATCTTGAGAATCGACACCATGATCACCGTGGCGCCGGAGCCCGAGAAGGAGGATCCGCACCAACACTAATCTGGCTAATAATTTGGTAATAAAGTACATGCGGGTAGGGGCCGCGCACGCGGAGTGGTCTGTGCTGCGACTGGCCTTGCGGTGATGGTCGTTGCGGGAATGTTCGTTGCGGTAATGGTCGTTGGAGGTTGGGCACCGCAGAAGGACGTCTTCAGGCGGGCCATACCCACCATCGCCATGGAAGAACGGGCCATGCCCACCTTCGCCATAAAAGACCTGGCCAGGCCCACCGTCAACAGGAAGAACTGGGCAGGCGCATAGAAATGCCTGCGCAGGCGCATCCCGACCTTGCCCTGCACCGCATACACTGTGAGCCTGAAATGAATGTATTTAAGCTATAGCTTTCTATAAAAAGTCTTGTGGAGAAACGAAAAGAAACGGGTCGCAAACAAAAGCAATCGGGAATGTTGTCTTGCGCAACAGAAGAAGTGAACCATCGTAGGAAACGCCCGGTGGCTCGGTCAGGTGTCCAGCAGCTGAGAGAGGCTCGGGCGCCCCGAAGCCCTTCTACACGTACTGTTGGTACGCTGTTCTTGGCACCGCCAACGTCAGCTGCACCTTGGTATCGTAGGCATGGGCCCCGCGCACATTGAGCGATGCCGTGGATTTGTCTCGGAGAGGCGTGCGTGGGAGAGACTCGGCCAAGCTGTACAGCGAACTGGCCAGCTTGCGCAAGGAAAGCATGGAGCTCGAGCTGTAGAGAGAAGATTTGGACGAGTCGTAGGACGCAATCGAGTTGGTCGAGTTGGTGTACGAGCTGGACAACCGGTAGTACTCGGCCTTGGCCAAGTCCTCCGCGTCCTGCTTGCGGCGGAGATCGGATTTGATGTCCGCCAAGAACGGCTGCAACGCCACCATTAACTCGGCCTGCGTCACGTTGAGGTTCCAGTTCAAAAGCGAGATGAGCTCGCGCTCCACCAGGTTGACTTCCTCGTTCGTGAGGAGCCCGTCGGTGTACGTTGTCCAGTGCTTGTTCAAGGGGCTGGAGTCATTTAGCGTCTTTGCGCTTAGGATGAGAGCAGCCAAGAAGATGCGGTGGCGCGTGGTCTCCATGCCCACCGCGTTGCCCGGCAACACGTTTCTGAGTCTGTTCAAATACACGAGCGACGTCATGAGCGTGGGAGTCTGCACGTTGGAATAGCTGATCAAGCGGCCGATGAACTTCTGGAGCAGCACGTTTTCCTGCGTGGGCGCCACGAAAAAACGGCCCATTTTCTCGGCTGCTTTCTTGGCTGGCTTGACCTGGATCACCGACGCCGTGGTGGACGCCAAGATCTCCACCATGGCCGAGGACACGGGCTGTCTGGCGAAAATGCGCAAGGCTTCGTGGTCGGACATTTGTTTCTTTTGTCTTGGGTCTGTGTTTGGGAGTCCTGGGGAATGTCTGTGCAGCAGGGCGGGTCCTGGCAAAGAGTCTGGGGGATGTCAAAATATGAACGTCAGATGTTAAAGAACGAACGTCAGATGTTAAGTACAAACGTCAGATGTTAAGTACGAACGTCAGATGTTAAAGTACGAGCACCGGCAGATTTTTCAAAGAACGAACGGCAGATGCTCAAAGTCAGGTGTTCAAAGTACGAAAGTCGGGAAGTGTTCAAATAGTCGGCTGCGGTAATCAAAAGAAGGGACCCGGGATGGACAAAGGAAGGACAACGAAGGTCAAGGATAGTCAAAAGAAAGATGTCGGGCTTCTAAGAAGAATTGGCCGTGGAACGAAAGCAGACTCCCGGCGCTATATACTGGTGCCTACGCAGTCCAGTCCACCAAGCCACGCATTAGTCTTGACGGCGGCAGGACGTCTGTTTGTTTATCTCGCAATTTCGCAGGGGGCGATTCGCGTCTGAAGCCTGGAATATTATATGGCACTGGTCCTCGCGGTCGCGAGATCTGGTGCGGCGCGTCCCACGGTGCAGGCGCGCTGCGTGTCTCGTGCCGGTGACACGCCTGAAACTGGGGTGAAACAAGAGCACCCAATTTGCCTGTTCGGGCGTGGGCGGTATACAGGCATGGCGCAAGATGGGATGGGATGGGGAAGAATGGGAAAGGATGGTTGGATACGCGAATGGTTGGGATAGTTGGAGCGTGTCCGCCAGAGGTTGTCCGAAAGGGATGGCACTGATTGGCAACAACACAGCTCAAGGGGTATTGCAAACATCTGTAAGCTGCTGTCCTTTTGCGTTTCAAGAACTTCGTCTTTGCACTTCAGATCCTTCTCTCGTTTCACTGGCCTCATTTCATAGTACTCGTGTTTTGCTAAACCCGGGGCCACTCGCGCAAGTCGCTTCATTAAGCCGCCTTGGGAATTGGGCGCCAAATCTCCAATATGCCGCTGGGCGGAACACGCGCGTTTAAGGGACGCTGGGCTCGCACAAGAGCGTGACGCGCCGGGCGCCTGTGTGCAGGACGCAGCCGTTCACTGCCTAGTCTGGGGCACCCCGATTAATTGACCAAAGGCCGGTCTTACATTTCTTGTTTAGTCAATATGTGTGCTCGCTTTAGAGGGCCCATATTCGCAACTTTTTTTTATTTCGATGGTGATACTTCAAGGACGCACATCGGCGAGACCGTTGATGCAATGGAGAATAGACCATTCTAATGGGCTGTGTGTTCGCGTTGGTCATAGACAAAGATAACAATCGTCGATTAGACGAGAGGATGTCTACGATGCCTTGCATTTCGTGTAGCTGGTCCCACTTTCCAATAATGCGGTGGGTGTCGAGAGACAATAGCTTATTGCATGGAACAGAGAAAACGCGAGCACTCAAATTTGCATACACCGAAATCACGTCGAGACGTGCCAATGTCTTTGTTCGGGAGGAAATTCATTTGCACCATTATTGCCATAGGCTTCAAATACAGGATCGCTTTCTAGATTTGCCAGCTCTTCGCCGGATGTCCTGCTATATTTGATGGGCATGCGAGCAGATATTGAGTGGATGCAAGGGCACTGCTTTGGCCCTAACCTGGGCCCGGTTGCGAAATGCGAAACCAGAATCATTTTCCTCTACAGCACTACATTTGGTACTTGAACAGAGATTGAACTTGCCAACGCACTAAATTCCTTGGTCTAATTACCTAGGTTGGTTCTGGTGTCATTGAAGCTTTGCCCCAGCAGCCCATGTGAAATATAAGAACGTCTCCATTTGCTACTTGGCAAACTTACTGGTCCACTTCTTGAGGAATTGCTGCACGATTGACCAACCCAGAATAGTTCTCGAATTAGCAGTGGAATACAATCCGAAATAGATGCTGCATGGTTACCGACTAGAATTGAAAAACTGGCTCCTTGCCTGTGATCGGCATCAGAATAACTGTCCGCAGAATTTCATGGGAGGGCATGCTTGCCAGAATACCATCGACTGCCACGTACCCCGGAAAGTCACACCCATACATGAATGGTTAATTTGAATTTATACGGGGCAACCATGATGTCACAAACACCACTTCGTCTTTCTACCGGACTTGTGCGTTCTCGATGCATCCCTGTCTTCGCAGCCGGTATGATATCTTTAATTTCTCGAAATAACTAGAGTCCAGGGTATTGGAAACACATAGGTAATAGGTGACGAGTCTTTCACTCGCTCAACTTAAAAAATTTCAAACTAAACAGACATCGAGTATTCTCAAATCCAGGGTCCCTCTTCATCACGACATGTGCCGAAGCCCACGCAAATCAACTCACAATCTTTCCTTCGGCATCCACGAAAGCGTGCACTGAATTCTGTGTTCTTTTTCATAAAACGGGTCTTATACAATCATAAGAATTAAAGGTCAACAGTCGACTCAAGTGGCCACCGAGTCTGGGTAGTAGAAAAATGCCAAAGCAACAATCAAATATGTGCTCAATAGCATGGCACCTTCCAACCAATTAGACTCCCCATCGAGAATCACCAAATTGGTGATGAACACCGAAACAAACATGATCGCAGTCTCAAACGTCGAGAAGTACAAAGACATGGGCACATCGATAATCCAGCCTGTGATGACCATGAACGGGGTAACAAAAAGCGCAATCTGGAGCGAGGAGCCCACGGCAACACCGATTGCCAAGTCCATCTTGTCCTTCATGGCAACGATGATTGCAGTAGCGTGCTCCGCGGCATTGCCGACGATTGGAATGACAATCAAGCCTATGAACGTCTTTGACAATCCAGACAGCTCCACAATGTCGTCGATAGAGCCCACCAAGTAGTCTGCACAGAAAGATACCAAAACCGTGGCTGCCACCAACACGGCCAAGGCGCCGACAATCGACAAGTGTTCTGTCTCGGCTGCGCTTTCCTCGCCTATGGGCACAGACGTGGTGATAATGGCTTCTTCCTCACTGGACTGCTCCTCAAACAACGCCTTGTGTGTTTTCAACTGGAACACAAGATACAAGATATAGAGCGAGAGCAAAATGATAGCAACGCCCCTGGACAAGCTGAGGATCTTGATGTCCGAGTCCAAGTCAGGGTCCGGGAAAACGCTGCCTTCCTTGGGCTTGGGCATGGCAGCGTGAAACGCCGCAGGCACCAAAAGACCGGCGGTGGCCAACGCCATAAGTGACGACATGGTCTGTGCCACCGTTTGATTAAAAGTCTGCTGCACACGGGTAAGCCCGCCCGCCACGAAACAGCAGCCCAAAACCAACAACAAGTTCGACAAGATTGATCCGAGCATCAGTGCCTGGACGATTCTGACCTGGTTATCTTTCAAGGCAATAATCGACACAATGAGCTCCACCGCATTGCCAAAGGTGGCGTTCAAAAGCCCGCCGATTGTTTGGCCCGTGTGCTCAGCAAGCTCCTCTGTAGCAAAGGCAAGAATCAGGGCAAGGGGCACAATTGCAAGGAAATTGACCCAGAAAATCGCATTCAGGCCCCAGTCAAGAATACCTGCCAAGAGCCCCAAGGGCACGAACACGAGGAGATAGTTTACGGGCGATGACTTGATTGTCAATTTGGTGCCCAAAAAGAAGGACGACACCCAGGAACCTGGTCCTGAGGTCAACTTGCGGCTCAAAAGCGGCAGGCGGTCAGACATACTATAGTGATGGACGGGACTATTGTATGACGATGCCAGATTTGCTACTTTGCGCATCCGAAGCTTGCGCCCCGCACGTGTGCAGGTGGGTCGCAGTGAATTATTACTCGAGCTGGAGAAACATGCCTTTGTAGAGGGCGGCCTGAATTGGATTATTGGGACTTGTACAGTGACATGGTAAAAGAGGATAAAGTGGGGGCTTGATATGCTTGACTACTTGGGTTACGAACTTGGCCTGCCATTTCTTATCTTGTGGAATGCCCTTCGTTCGCAGCAGAACATGTTAATTTCGAGCTGCACATACGCAGGACTGCCAGCCGCAAGTTATACTAACGTCCCCGAATAGTGGGTCTGGTAATCTGGGACTTTTCACGAAGCCACGATACTTGGCTTAAAAGTGCTAGCGTCTGTCGAACTCTTGCGTTATATATTTGCTTGTGTAGTTTTAGCGCATTCATTATGGCAACAGGTTAGAACCGCACTTGTCCGGCAAATGACGTGCCAGATTGGGTGAGCTTAAGTATGATTCAAACAGAACGAAGTTGTACTTAACGGGGAAAATACACATTCAATTCAATCGTAGTAAGATCGCTTGGAGATTTCGTCATCGCATATCTGTCGCTCCTAAAGTCACATAATATTCCGGTGAGGACAATGACTTACATACGATAAGCTGACCTGGTGACATGTCACGGTATAATTTCTGCTTCAGCCAGATCTTCTTAAGTGTGGGTATAATTTGAGACCAGTCAATTGAGTTCATTCAAGCCCAGCCGGCTCACTTTTTGGGTTAAAGTGTGATTTGGGTTTTGTTAGACTTCATATATGCATCTTCGTTCATTTTGGTCATCTAACGCAATTCGTGAATTTCGTTTCATAAGCAGTTACTTCTCAGTCTAGGCATGAGAGCAAATTTTATTGATTAGTTTTTGCTCGTTGTTAATCGTTGTCATCTAGGTTGAAGAAGACTTTAATTCGTTCATTTCGAAAATAACCGCGAGAGGTGCACAGGTCAAATTATCCCAAAAACCTTTTTTGAGCATACTGATGCTTGATCTAGAAAGCTTCAGACGCATTCACCGCATTACCCTTCGTTTCTATAATCTTGCGACCACGTCACTATTTCTGCCTCAAGATTGGACCATTATTATGACCTTCAAGGTCAAGAGTACCGCATTTTCCTTGCTGATTTTCAGAATAAGTATCCAGCTGGGTGCACATGCTGGAGAATACTTATAGTTGGGATCCAAACTTAATATCTAAATTTGTGCTATCAAGAATTTTTAGATGAGAACATCCTTGACTTATTTGTATTTCTCATCGCAATTGTCGTGTGCCATGTTTCAACAGCCAAGCAACTACCAGCACCGCCCCATCTTGCGAGCCACTCCAATGAAGCCACTTTATTATCCGTTAGACCCGAAAGCAGTGTTCAAGAGCCGAGACTGGGTACTCAAAGCTTACAAATTTTGCGTGACATTTGCCCCAGTAATTTTCAACCCCCGTGCCCTGTCTCGATATTAAAGTATTCTACCTTACTGTCACCGAGATAATCTCCATTCCCAAGACGCAGCTGATAAGTGCTTTCCCCGGTAGACCACTAACTTTGAACAAATCATTGTAGCTACTGCGTCTTTCAATTAAGCGATCATGTCAGTTTCATCAGTGATGTCTAAAGGTATAGCAAGCCCTATTAAAAAAAACGTTAATCTAGAAATCAGACTTGGATATGACTCACCAAATATCAGCATCTACATTCAGAAGGACCAAACAGCAGCCAATACTTGCTGCAGAACACGAGAGACATTCATATTTGTGACCGTCATAAGAACAGTCAAGCAAGGAAGAAGGAAGAATTCACAGAGATAAAAACACTGTTGACCGTGAGTCTAGGCTTGATTGTTAGACTCCAAAAACGCAGAAAACTTCACTTCATCTATCATGACCTGTGTGCTTCCGGCGAATGGACCGTCAGAAGAAAAAGTAACCCTCATTCCAATGACAGAAGAGATTTAAAAGTCGGCTCAATTGAAGAGGCATGCTTAAGGAGACGGGATGAGAGTATGGAACCTCCCTTTTGAGGTGAACCAGTCAAGTAGAATTGATTTAGCGGTAATCTGTAATTTGACGCTCATAGACCTGAAAAACGAAATGTAGATATGAAGTATTAAAGGACTCGCAAACTTGCACTCAACCAGATCAATTCAGACAAGTTGGCCAGTGCAAAAATCTAATTTGAAGTAGTCCGTCAGAGGACGTTTTATGGACATTGCGGTGAGTTGTTACCCTATGCAAAATTGTCAAAAGCCATTGAGCACCAAGATGTGCTGTAGGAAACTCTCTACTTAAGCACATCTATTATTGTATAGTAAGAAACACGTTTTTGCTAAATACTCGATGAGAACCATTTAGGTTAAAGTTCATCACGATCTCAGATTATTCGAGTTCAATGACCTAGTCACTGTCTATTACCCGGCGATGTTCAACGGAGTGTCACAATACGAGTATCATTTGCAGCAAGGGCGCCTTGCTATACACGTTAAGCCACGCTATCGGTTTAGCCCGCGACATGCCTTAACAAATCAATATTAGATGATGGTTCCCGCAAGAGAGCTAGATAGATTTGTCGACTGTCGAGAGGTATCTTGACTAGTTTCGAAGTGAACCACCAACAAACAGGAGTGCTTTTGGCGCATATAAAGGATGTTCCCACAATAATGGTCACTTGCAAAGATTAAGGGTGCTAAGAAGAACCTCGTCTGGTCTTGCTACATACCACCGAGCTTCGGAAATATCATTCTTGGGAAAGCAAGGTGGCGGCTTGTAATCGGTGGTACTATCGGCAGTGACTTCCGAACGTACAGGCCAACTGCACGGGCTAGAGTATCGTGCATCGAACACAGCCGGCTGTTAAAGAGACCTGGCGCTGGAGCACAGAGAAGCGGGTGAGATGAGCCCCGTCCAGACTACTTGACGCTGGGCCACAGGAAAAATCAACGACACGCAAGCAGCAATCCGAAAACACAAGCTACAGGGATTTGGCCCAGTATAACTGAATCTTATTAGAGTCCGTGGGGCGGCGTGCAGCCTTGGGACGCCCGGAACAGTTCGTAGTATCTATGCGGCGCACACCACGAAGGCGGCGTCACAGGGCCGTCCCCGCACAGTTCGTAGTTTCTAAATCAGGACCAGTGCACGTCCCGCTACCGCACCAACTCCTTCCACAAGTAGGGTGTGAATACCACGACCGCCGAGTAGAACGCATCGAAGGCCTCGTAGAGCGCCACGGGGAAGCCCGTGACGCCGCGTGCCACGAAGTTCACGTAGATGGCGTAGAATGCCACGGAGAAGAAATGGTTGAAGAGCATCATCGGGAATGGCATCATGCCCGATAACAAGCCCATGGGCCCGTCCACGCAGTCGCCGCCGAGCAAGAAGTACTCGAAGCAGCCGCGCTGGAGAACCTGGAGGCCGCGCGTGTCGGCCGCGAAGAGCGAGTACAAGGCGATGGACAACACGTTGATCACCGCGTCTAGGTTCTTGCGCTTGCGGTGGAAGAGGCGGAGCTTCTGGTCAACGAGCCGCTGGTCGCCGAGGTCCACGCCGTGCAAGAGCCGCGCGAGGAGCGCCGTGTCGTTGAGGCCCACGGTCATGCCGCCACCCGTGAGCGGGTGGCGCATGTTGAGCGCGTCGCCCAACATGACGAAGCCCTCGTTGCCGCGGCCCTGCTCCGGCGCCGTGAGGTACTGGTTGGGCATGGCGCGGAACAGGCGGGCCGCCACCGCGGCCTCGAAGCTGGCGTGGAGCTCGCGCGGCAAGTTGGGCAACACCTGCGTGCGCAAGTACTGGACAAAGTCGTCGTTGGCCAGCGACGGCGGCCGCGTGGAGCGGTACGCGCAGAGCATGCGGGTCTCGGCGGCCGACACCTGGTACACCAAGACGGGCGCGTGGCTGCCCAAGATCACGTGGCCGTGGTTGGGCGCCGGCAACTCGGCGTGGTGCAACGCGAGCCCGACAAAGTACAGCCCCGTGGTGGGCACGTTGGTTGGCAGGTGCTCCTTGCGGAACTTCAGGTAGATGCCGTCGCAGGCAAAGGTCATTTTGGCGCGGTACTCGTGGACCGAGCCGTCGGCGGTCTTGACCCGCACGCCCACCACGCTCTGCGGCCGGCCGGGGGCACGGAGCAACGCCGTGGCCGTGCCCTCGACCCACGTCACGTTGGGCTCGCTGCGCACGATGCGCCGGAGGTTCAGGAGAAACTTGCCGTGCGTCAAGGACACGCCCCGCACGTTTTCGGCCGCGTCCCAGTCCTTGGCCAGGAGCACGGGGTCGTGCGTGCTCAACTTGTCGTTGCCGCCGAACACGCAGTCGGGCACCGGCACCACGGGCGCGGTTTTCTGGCACGTTTCCTTGCTGGCGTAGTCGATGACGATGGACGTGCCGTGGTACTTGATGTAGTAGCCGTCGACGTGGCGGGCGTCGATGTTGTTCAACGCCTGGACCAAGCCCAACTCTCGCAACGCCTTGACGCCGGCGGGCTGCATCAACTCGCCGACGATGCGGTCTGGCTCGGACCAGTCACGCTCGATGATCAACACCTTGTGGCCCTGTCTGGCGAGGGCCGTGGCCAACGCAGGGCCCACGACGCCTGCGCCGATGACAATGGCATCGAGGGGCAGCATAGTGTGTGTGTGTGTGTGTGTGTGTATTTGTGTATGTGTGTTTGTGTATGTGTGTTTGTGTATGTGTATGTGTTTTTGTGTCTGTGTTTTTGTGTTTGTGTATGTGTTTTTCTGTATTTGTGTTTTGTTTTGTTTCGTTTTGTTTCGTTTTGTTTGCCTGGTTTTGGTGGTATGAGCCGGTGTTTTTTCCGGGTGTAGCACAGCTGAGGTGCTGAGCTGATGGGTGCAAATTGTCCGCGGCCTGGGGCGGGAGCTCGCAGTGGCAAACGGGGCGATGCGTGGTGGGCGCTTTTTGAAGAGAGGGCTGGCAACTCAAAAGATAAATCGCACTGGCTGTAAATGTGCGGGATGAGCGGCTCTGGTCTGAACCCGGGCTCTTGACGGAAACAGACGGAACACTGTGACAGATGACAGATCCCTTTTTGGGCTGAGACTATTGGGCTGAGAATGACAGTGTCGGCGCAGGCCAATGCAATCACAGTATTACGCCACTGATTAGGGGAATGAGCAATTGACGCCAACGCAAGAAGGACAATACCAGATAATATCAATACCAGTAAATGTCAATACCAGATAACGTCAATACCAGATAACGTCAATACCAGATAACGTCAATACCAGATAACGTCAATACCAGATAACGTCAATACCAGAAGAATGACAATCACTCTGTAAGCTTTATCGCACAAGAGGATCGCTCTACTAAGCCAATGATCGCACTAGCAAGCAATAATCACACCAAGACAGAAATCACACGGAGGGCAACAAATCACGTTCTTGCGGAAATTCACGGGCAGGGAAGGGTCAAAGAGGCCGCGTGTCGAAATATCGGGCGCCGCCAGCTGAGGTGCTACTGATGGCCTTATGTTGCTGCTGCCTGGGGCGCTGTTTCCGGCCCCACGCCTCGTGATATATACACGCTCGGTCCAAAAAATAGCGCCATTCGCACAGCGTCGTATAGCGCCACGCGTCACGTGACGGATGGCCCATATCTGGGCTCTCCCAACATACTCCATGGCTCCGGGCACTTCTATCGGGCACCGTTTGGCGCCATGGAATTGTAGCCCCGCTGCTTATTTCCCCATCCACGCCCGGCAAATGTACCATTTTTGGCGCACGTGCCTTCGTACCCGCCTGACTGAGATCAGCTGATATCTGCCCACAACTGTAGGCCATGTTGCCCGAGGAACTAGATACAGGCGTCCCTGTATCCAGGCAGCCCATTCGCTTATACCGCCTGCCCTGATCGAGCATAGCACGAGACATGTGATTCTGTATTGAGGGGGCCTGTCTAGCCCGAGACCATTCCCGAGGAAGAAAGCGGCAGAAGGACGAAGATGGAACAGATTGTAGGCTGCTGGCTCCGGGATGCGTCGCTGGCCCAAAAACATATGTAGAAACTCTGGGCCTGATATATTCTCACTCTTATTAGTGCAAGAATAGACGATCAATATTAGGGCTACGGACAAAAAAATGTTGATTAGGTATCGTGGGTTTTTATTATAGAATATGTGTTATAGATGCTCAGATTTTGGTCGAGGCGGGTCTTCCATTTAAAGCTGGATATCTTCTCGTTCAGGCTGGTGATGGCTCGCGACATCCAGACGCAGCATGGGTTTTCTTGGGGAGCTTGGGTTAAGCTCCCGTGAGAAGACATTGGGAAAACATGACTTTCGATGAAGCCGGCTGCTTTCTAGGATTCATGAGACTCCAGAAGGTTTGTGGATCTTTGTATTGCATGAAATCGCCTGCGTCGTGTTGCTGTGCGCTTTTAGGTAATGCTAATTGAAACATTGGAAAGACTTCTGCTGCGGACTTTTCTAATGCAAAAGCTGTGAATCGTTAGTTAGAATTTACTTCGATGGAATAATCCAAATAGTCACGTAATCCCGGTCAGAACCCTCTTCGCGGCACGGGTCTCGGAAGAAGACATGGACAGCAATTATTACCTAAGAACCTCATGTTCTGAATTTGGAACCATTAGCAGCATTCTTGGCATCTTTCAATTCTCAAACAATACTTCGTTCTAATAATGAAAGCTTGAAAGATGTCCAGAAATTTTCTTGTCCTTGATTAATGGATAACAGAGGCTCCAGGAAGGTGCTGATCAGGAACCCGCTTAGTTCTCTTTAAATAGCGATGAGAAGGTACATTCCGGGTTTAAGGTCGGCATCTTCGCTGAACAATTGCCCGCGAAAAGAAATATTGAGCAGTTGATTCCCCGTGTGAGCACTGGGAAATGACGTACATTATGAAGAACGTGAAGATTCGCAATCACGTATTTCTATAGTGACAGTCTGACGACAGGTGGTGCAAGGGAAATACGCTTCTGAATATGAACTCATTATGGGCACCCGTAGTTTCATGCGCATATCATGGTTGAGCTACTTGTACCCAGGTATTATTTCGAAACAGATATTCCTCTTAGAGTTATGTCAGAATATAACCACAGTGTTACTCGAGATGACGATACTTATCAATTGCACGATCCTAGGTTCCACACAAGTACATCCCACCTCTTAGCTCCTGGTCTTGAGGAAATTGAAGATGTCTTCGGCAAAGTCCATACCGGGATTACTCTCTCGAAATCATTCAAAAATACAGCGACAAGAATCAAAGTTCCGAGTATGTGAAGTAGATTCAACGCTTCGAAAATTGTTTCGCACCTGATGGAAAGTCGGGTCTAGTATTATTGGCATTCCAGTTTATACTACCGACCACTTACTCTGATTTGATGAAGTTTTGTCTTGCGTCTAAGAACTTGGGCTGGCAGTCCTGCCCCAACATGGTCATGTTCGCAGACTCAATGTTCCCTTTTGGGCGGTCTTGTTAGGATAATCTATCAAAACTCGTGCTTTAGGCATCATTTACCACTGTACTTTAGAACTTGTTGACTCTTGTACAACCAAATAAAATTCAACCTTTGTTCTATGGGGTGAATTACACTTTCAGCTGCAAGAATAAAGTTTTCCTCATACAATGCCAGTTTAATTCTTCGCTGAAACTTTGCGGAACGAAATTGTGTTCTTCCTTTTGGTGTTTTGAGTTCTTCTCTTCTCTAGAAAGTCTTAGCTTATACAGTTCGATCAAGAAGAATAAAGCAAAAATTGTCTCTAATATCCTATCTCATTATTACTCTCATGTATTATCGTTTTCTCTCTGGGAATGACAGACTTAGGTAAACCAGAACAATAACAAGATGAAGTTTGTTATTCAAATTGCGTCCTTCCATTTGTATCATTGCCAAAATTATACAGGGAAACTGGGCCGTTTTTTGCCTTCAATTCATCTCAACAGTAGCAGCAGAAGAAAGTGCAGTTCAGGCTAGATCATGTTCTTTATTTTGCGGTGATTTCTTGAATACTCACATCAGCCATCATCCTTTCGCTCCTTTCTACTTCAAATGCCCACAGCAAAGCCACCGCTGAAGATGGCATATACAATCAGGAAGTCAAATTTGAGTGCGATCAGATATGAAGAACAAGTATCAAGTTGGCATTCTCTCATTTGAAAAGAAGACATTTTAAAGCGCTCACGAAGCTACACCTAACGTAGGAGTCAGAAAGTTTGTACATCACTGTAACGAATCGTATCATCTCGAGGATAGATCAGTGACCTCACCTTGAAAAACTGAATTAGCAATTTTACATTAGCTGAGTTTATGGTACGTCTCCTATAAATAATATCAGTCCAAGCCACCAAACTCGCCTTCTTACCGAACATGTGCCATCCGCGTGCCATCATGACTCAATGAGATATACTGCAATGCAAAAAGATGTCGAATTGATCGAATTGATGAGACGAAACCTTTCGATAATAAATGCTCTGCTACAGGAATATGGGGTATAATTCTGAGGGCATGTCGCAAAATAAAATATTCAAGAGAGAGCACTGATACACAATAGAACATATAAAACACGGATTTACAACGAACCCCAATGTCATACCTAGAGACAAGCCCTCAAAAATCTCATACTGCTCAATTGAGACGTGCGGGGTGCCCTGTGAGCGGTATTTTGATTCTTCTGAATTTCGAACCAGTCCGCAAAGCACTGCAATTTGTGAGATTACATTTGTTCATGAAAAACTAAATAGCCTTTTCTTGGTCTGCACGCGGAGCAAATTCTTGATCTGGTCAACATGCATCTCTCGTTCATAAAACTCTCGAGCATGTCAACAGATATGGCGTCAGCAGTGCCCGCCAGACGCCCCCTAATCCTCGTCCTCACTCTCCTCCTCCGCGTCGCGGAGCCACTCGATGAACTGGCTCGTCAACTTGCGCACCCTGAGCAAACCCTCACTGGCGGCCGACAGCTCGGACTCCCACCATCTCAAGAGGTTGTCCTCGTCAATGATGTCGAGCTCGTAGAGCTGCCGAAGAGCAATAAAAAGCAAGACTGGCCCATGCTCCGGGTCTAGCGTGACACAGGTGTCCTGTACAATCTGGGCCAAGTCCACCTGCTCGTCCCCGTTGAACACCTGCCTCTCGAACAACGCGCCCCAGTCGCCAAACACCTTGACGGCCGCGTCCTTGGCGTTCAAGGTGTCGGTCGATATGAAGTGCACCACTCTCTTCAACATGGGCCACCCGCACCTCGTGGTACGTGACGTTGATGGACATCCGCAACGTGTTGAGCTCCAACAACGCCGTGTCGATGTCGTGGTTGTTCTCCATCGCCCTCTCCACGGTCGCGATGGCCTCCTTGTTGAAGTCCTCCTCGTCCTCCTCTTCCTCGGTAAACGCCCCGCCCTCGTAGTCCGTGGACATCATCAGCGTGGCAGACATCCGTCTGCTGTTGCGCGAGTTGCGGCGCATGGCCCGGCGCGTCTTGCGGCGGGTGAGCGACGCGATCGACTCGTCCGACACGTTGAGCGAACTGAGCTGGTACATGACGCCGGAGTAGTTCGACACGGAGTTGTTCTCCAGCTCGGACTCGTCGTCAAGGTCGCGCTCGGACATGTACAAGACGCCGGTGCCATCGTCGCCCACCAACTCGGTGTCGTTGGCGTTGGCGTGCGCCGCGACGTGCGCCGGCTCTTCGTCGCTGGCGTCGCTATCGAAAGAGGCGCACAACACACTGTCCTTCTCCAAGTGCTTGTCGATGATGCGCGTGGCCGGCGGCACGAACTGGCCCTCGCCCACGACGACATTGAAGCCGATCACGGAGCCCGGCGCGAGCGCCGCGCCGGCCTTGATGACCGCGTGGCTGGCCACTATGGCGTTGTCCACCACCGCGTTGTCCTCGATGACCGCGTGGTCCCAGATGTGCGAGTTTTTGATGACCACGTTGGCACCAATGCGGCAGTGGCGGCCAATCACGGACTTGGCGATCGCCGTGCTGGCGCCCACCGCGGTGCTGGCGCCGATGCACGTGCTGTTGCCGATGCGGCACGACTGCGCCAACACCACCTTCTCCTCCTTGTAGATGTGGTTGAACTCGTACTTGTACGAGGTGTTCTCCACCATGTTGGCGTCGGGCGTCAACGGGTAGCACCAGCGTGCAAGCACGTCCTGCGCCACGGCCGCATACGTGGCCCAGCTCTCCACACGCGCCGCGTACTCGGACTCGTGCGTGGTGTAGGCGTAGATGGTCTTCTTGAGCAAGTCCGAGGTCAACACGCCGCGCACAAAGTCGCCGCGGAGCGTCTGGTAGTCGAAGTTCTCCTGGAAGATCTGCGGCACGTGCGGCGAGCAGATGTCCACGCAGCAGTCGATGAGGTCGTTGCGGATGACAAAGTCGTGCTCGATGTCGTCCAAGAGCTCCGGGTCGATGGTGATCTGCGACCTCTTGCCCTCCGCGGGCGCAATGCCCTGGTAGTAGTGGCAGCGCTGGCTGACGCTGTCAAGCACAAACACCAGCGGGTCGAGCGGCGACCGCGCGCGGTGCATGGGGCTGGCCTCCGTGAGCACCATGGTCACGATGTGGTCCTTGTCCGCGGCCTTCTTGGCCTTGTGGAACGCCATGGCCTTCAGGAAGTCGATGTTGGTCACCACGTCGCCGGACACCAAGAGGAAGTCGCCGGTGATGATGCCGCGGTTGTCCAAGTCGCGCATGGCGTCGCCCACGGACCGCAGCTCCAAGCTCATGACCGTGGTCACGGAGAAGAGCGAGTTGTGCGCCCACCGCAGCTGCTCGATGTACTGCTGGATCTGGTCCGCGTGCGACGAGCACATCAAGTACACCTCGTTGACGCCGGCCTTGGCCAAAAACTCCAACGTGTAGTCGATCAAGGGCACGTTGGCTAAGGGGAGGAGGCAGCGCGGCCTGACCAGCGTGAGCGGCATGAACCTGGTTTCGAAGGAGTCCGTGAGCACGATGGCCTGGAGCCGCTCGTCCTGGACGATTTCCTTCTGCTTTCTGTTTTTGGGCGGCATGGCGCGGATCCTGGCTATTTGGGTGGGCCTGGCTGTTTGGGTGGGCCTGGCTGTTTTGGTGGGCCTGGCTGAATTTGGTGGGCCTGGCTGAATTTGGTGGTTCCTGGGTCTGATGCGCTCGGCTGGGCTCGCGCACCAAATTTTTAGGGCGTGCGCCGCTCAACCGCCGGGTCTTGGGCTCAGGCTTCACTCCTGCAACGCCACCATGTCAAGCACCTCCACGGAGCCCTCGCCTCTCTTCATCTTGTCGGGGTCCTCGCCCAGAAGCAAGTCCACGATTTCCTTGTAGTGGGACGGGTCGATGATGGCCACGGCCTCGAACAACTTGGCGCCCTCGTTCTCGCTCTCGATCCTGTGCACCATGGGCCGGATGTGTTCCTGGAACGCGTCCCGGACCCGCAGAAGCACGGTGATTTTGACCTTCATCTGCGCGCGTGCAATGGGGATCACCTGCGCCGAAATGAGGAGCTTGATGGCGTCGAGCGCCTGGAGCTTGGTGGCCTTGGTGGGGTTGAGGTGGTACTTCAACTGCCCGAGCGCCTTCTGGATCATGCTGGGCGGGTACCGCTTCTTGGACCTCGGGTTGATGCACTTGGTCAGGATCAAGTTGAGGAACTCGTTCTGCTTCTGTTGCAAGTTGGCACTTCTTTCCTTCTCGTTGAGCTGGATCTCACCCTTGTCCAAGATCTCAAGGAGAATCTCGTCATGGTTGGTGGTTCCAAACGCATTCAAAAGATCCTCGTTGTTGGCAACCTGGCCCTTGGACACGTTGGTAAAAACCAGCGGGATCTGGAGCACCTCGTCGAGGTCCTTCTCCACTCTCAGTCTCCAGTCCTGGACTTTGTTCTGGTAGCACGCAATCTCAAACCGCTTTTTCCCTTTCTTGATTTTCACAAGCGACACGTTGGTCAATCTGATTTGGCCCGATGGTTGGTTGATCATTCCCATTGTACGTATTGGTTGAGGAAGAAAGGTCAAGCCAAAATGTCTCTTGGGCTTGTATGTGCACAACCCGATGCGGCTGCTCCTGCGCCGATGACCGTGCTAATTCCACGCTAGGTCATGGAACCAGACATGTGCACGATTTCTTGCATGTTCCTAAAGTCTGGCATTCTCATCATGTGAAGTTGATCATGAAACCTGGCTCGTCCATGAAATTGCGCTTGTTCACGATTCTGGCTTGCTCATGCAAACGGGTTCATAACCAGGCCCGCTCATAATCCTGGCTAGCTTCCATCCAGGCAGCCCGTATTATCAAGTCAATCCATAAAGTCAAGCATAGCTGTAAATCAAACTAGCTCATAAAGTCAAACTAGTCCATAAAATCAAACTAGTTCATAAAGTCAAACTAGTCCATAAAACCAAACAAGGTCATAAAACCAAACTAGTTTATAAACAAATTCATAAAACCAAACGAGTTCATAAAACCAAACACAATCTGGTCACAGTTCGTGTTTGGACTACTGCAACACAACCTTGAACGTGGCAATCTCAAACCCCCGGAGCGATATCTTCACGCAGCCGTCCTCCACGTCCAACTCCTTTTCATTCTCTTCCAAGGCATTTGTCTTGAAGACTTTGTGCACCGCCAAGTCTTTCAAAGCAAGCTTTCCGGTGGAAGAGCCACCTAAAGACTCGTAGACACGGACTATGACCGACATGCGGCCCTTGTTCTCCACTTCAATGTTAGGATAGACATTTACGTCCTCGTCGGCCTCTCCTCTCTTGATCGCCGACAATACCAAAGACTCGTCGCCCGTGAGAGTTATCAAGTCAACCAAGGACTTGAACTTCTTTGGAGATCCGAAGGCGTGCAAGAGCTTGTAGTTGAAGTTGTGCGCCAATTTCACGACATCTGGCCCCATTCCTCCTCTATGAGGATACAACGCGTACTCAAAGTCATGCAGCCCCATATCAGCTTGATCATCCGGGGCCTTGGCCGAACGGAGAAGCGAAAGCCTCATCAAATTGCCATGAACAGACGCTCCATACTTGGAATTGTTCAAGACGGAAACGCCATAATTGTGCTCAGACAAGTCCATGAATTTGTGATGACACACCTCAAACTTAGCAACGTCCCAGGTCGTGTTGTAGTGCGTTGGTCTTTGGGTGATACCGAATTGAGTCTCATACAGAGCATACTGGGGAGTGTGGATTGTGACGGGAAATTGAACTTTCAAAAACTTGTAAAACTCGTGCCAGTCCACATGACACGAGAATTTCAAGAAATCTTGTGCTTCACAACTAATTTCGACTCAAGGGGGTCGCTGGAAACAGACAAAATCTCTCCTTTGGTCAAATAAGAGAACTTGTTGAGTGAGTATATCTCGGTGTCCCAGGCGGGGAAGCTTAACGGCTCATCATCAAAAAGCACGAATTGATTCCCAACACCACCTGTTTGCTTTGTGGCTGTTTGATCAATAATCTCTCGATCGGCCTTCAAATCATACAACGATTTGACTTCACCGTTTGCCGTTATCTTTGCTTCAAGGAGCCCATTGGTTAGAATAAATTCCTTGTTATCAACAGCCTTAATCGAAGCAGGGTACTTAAGCCCGCCTTTTTTAATAAAGCTGTTTGTACAGGTATCAAACCCAAGCT